GGACCCTTATTTTTATAACAAGTTGATACACGTAACACAACTAATACAGTATTTTGAAAGTCTCAAATAGGAATTTGTGTTAATTAAAAGAGGTCTTTAGACCTCTCGACCCCCAAAATCAGTTTTCGTTAATATCGATCCCTAGGAAACCGATTTCGACCCCAAGGGATCGATATCGACCACTTTGGGAATCCGTGCTCTAACGGGTCCACGCGGGGGGTTCAAGTGGAAATAACCAAAATCACAAGTGCATTACCACCTTTCGAGTCACCTCCACAGAATCAAGGAGAGGAAAGATTTGGGCTCCAGTAAATCCACTCACTCTAAATTCTTTTCTCTATACAATATGAGCATAGAAAATTCACATTGACGGTGATCTTCGTCAGCGAGACTCGTTATACGTGACTTTTGTTTTAAGCGTCTGTCTAGTTCGCCATAACTGTACTTTTTACGGCTTTAGAAGTAGGTTATTGTTCCACCTGAGTATACATAGCCTAGTATTTATACATATATGTATAATATAGTATAGTTTAGACGCAATTAATTCATTGCTCTAGAAGGAATCTATTGTTATATCATAATAAAGCTTTAATTAAATGCATCTGATTGGCTACAATGGTTTATATTTTTCGTTTGTCTTATATCGACTAATCTTTAGAAAGGGTTGACCTTTTTTTACTGGATTTCTACTGACAGCAGATGTTTTAAGATGTAATTTAGCTTACTTTTCTTTAGGAGAAAAGTTTACGGGGTCCCAAAATAAATATAAATTAGAAAATGCGTGTTGCTCGCCGAAATGTTGACAACCGGGAGCGATTGATGGTGACCGGAGGGGTAGAATTGAAGAGAACCAGAGGCAGAAGTCTCAGAAGATGGTCATACCAGATCGATGAAGAGCTGGAAATGCCAATAAGTATCGCACTCCACCAATCGACTGATCGCAACCGATGGAAGCAGATGCTTGACAGAGCAGATGATGAAAGGAAGTCACGATCCTCAGCAGTGAAGGAACGATTAGGAAGAAGTAGATGCGTACGAAGCAGTTACTATCTTATCTTGTTATTTTTCACTCGATGATATGCAACAAAAGATTTGCATAACACTGGTTTTCTGTGACGTCATGCGAGCCGCCGAGCTGAGCTAATAATATAGGTACTAGCATTGCCCATGGCTTCGTTCTCGTGATTATTTTTTATTTCGTGTTTCTACCTTTGAAAATGACGAACTTTCACACAACCGTTCATCCTTTATTTTACCATCTTGGGGTGAAATTTCTAAGAATATTTTCTTAGTCATGCATCAGCTTTTAAAAATTAATCTTAATTTTAAACTTTTTTTATTTTTTGGAATTATTCCTTTATTTGTGCTGTTTGGTTTTGGTCAAATTTCGTGATTCTAGGTCAACGGGAACTACCATATAGGTTTTCGACCCAAAACCTATAGGGTACTTCCGGTTGACCTAGAATTGTCAATTTTGGTTGAAAGCAAGGTCTTACAGCTCAAGTACCTAAAGAGAAAATTCTGAAAAATAAAAAAAAGGAGTATTCATACATGACGAACATGTGGATTTTAAGTCTGAAACAGCAAACTCCTCAAAAAAGAAAACCTGTAAAGTATATTTATCAGAAGGCTGGTTGCCAGTGGGCTCTGCCAAGTTTGGGATCAAATTCCGTGCGTGAGATGTGTGACATTATTGTTACGTATATATACGCGCTGGAACTCAATAGGAAGCGTTTTGATAGTGAGATGATTGCGGAAGACATACCTTATTTGTGTAGAGATATCGCCATACTGTTTCCGCTTTATCATCTGCAAGGACGTAACCTTTCTCTTCTCCACCTACTTTTTTCCTGTCATTGGATTAACCGATTATATGCGTTGAACTGTTCTGTGTATGTCTTTAGTAATTACTAAATCATATGGTATTTTGATTGGTTGATCAGATATTTAGAAATATATAAGTATGTTTATCAGCAGTCTGGCTCTATAGCACAGGATCTTCCTAGTTTGAGATCATATAGCAGTATGTTCGCAATTCAGCTTTTTGTTGGTTTGTTTGTTGCCTCAGTACTCTTTCATTAAATTTGAAGAAGAAATACCACCCCAAAGAGTGAAAATTAAGGAATGAAGAATACAGTTTATTACCATTCATCATGACGTAGGCGCATTAAAGTCGGTGATAGTTTTTTAGAAGTAGATTATTGTATTGTCGAAAGAAATGCTTAGACCTGCATATATTTGATACTTGACCTCCCTGAAGTGGAGGCGATTCCACCGCTTGTATCCTAACACTCTGTCTATTACACCTGATATCGTGTGGTGCCGGCTAATAACAGCTCCACCCTATATCTGCGTATGTGTTGTAAAAGTCGACTAATTGATTGTATACCAGTCGATGGGCCACAACATCCTATTAAGTACAGTACCATCTCACTGCGATCGCCAGCGTGTATGCCAAGCGAGGCGATTAAACCCCGTGGGAATTATAACCAAACCTTAGGGGAGGCCTATATCCAGCCGCGGACGCCTTTCGGCTGAGATTATGATGATGACTCGGTCTATTTTCTCCACCAAAGAACGTTTACCTTTGAGACTTTGCTGGTATTATAAATAGTCTGCAAAGTTTATTATTCACTAAACAAATTAAAATATGCCCACCCATATGCCATAAAATAAAAACTACAAAAACGTAAAAATATGAAGTATTTTTGATAATCAAATCGCAATATCTTGGCAAGCGGCCAAGCCGTGCTAAAAATAGCTTGATTTATGATTCTTATTTCGATACACATACGGCCGATTTTAGTTTGGTAGTGTTAAGAGAAAGTCGTCAGCCGAAATAAAAATTTGATTTCGTCATACTTAATGCGAGCATGCGATCAGTCGTTGGATGCAACGCGATTGTTTAGTTTTGCGAATGGTTTTTGACGCTAAATAAACATGAGCTGAATAAACAACAAAGGCAAAGCAACCATTGTAAGGTTATATTTGGATGGGTGACCATGATCAACAGCCTCTAATAGTCCACTGCCTGACATACGCCTCGCCTTAGAAAGGAAGTTTTGGCCTACTATACCACGCTGGCCAGACGAGTTCGTAAAGGGTTTGTTTCAAGTTTTCCTTTTTTTTTGCAGTGCTTTTGTCCTGCGTAGTTTGCTATCTCATTATTTAAATCAGATTTGTGATCTGTCTCTCTCACACGTCTTTATATTTAGTCATGTCATTGTATAGAGTTTTGTACCGTGACAGGTCAACATTACACAGAACCAGTATAGTGTTAAGACACTTGATTTAATATCCTATGTCCCCGAGATAGGGCAGAGGGCGTCCACAGTAATCCTCCATCGCGTTCGGTCCTGATCTTCGCACTCGACCTCACTCCACGTCTTGCCGATTCTCGATTCTCTTCTCTAAACCTCATCTACGGCAGTGCGTCGCCAAGTTTACTTTGGGTTGTCACGCTTACGTTTTCTTTGCGGCATCCAGCGCCTATTTCTGTTGACGTTGTTTTAACATAATTTGTGCCTAAAGCACAGCCCCTATGCACTTCTTCTACACATAAACATTAAGTATTTCAAACATAATAATATGATTCCGTGCGCCATATTGGTTTAAAAAAGAGTACAAAGACTTTGGTCCTGGTATTAATTTATAGATTTTGTAAAACATAAAGCATCCTTATTCCCCTATTAACAAATTGACTTAAATCTTATAGAATCTTATCGTCTTGGTCCGCTTAAAAATCGCTGGCGTCTTATTTCTTTCTTCCATTTTACGCCCAGTCAAGCGTATAAGCTTTCCATATCTTTGACACAAAGGATAAATGCGCTTCTTTGATGTTAACTTTGTAATTGATAATATGCTTTAGAAGCATTTATAAATAATCAAATTTAAATATAGGATGTGTAATGACCTCTTCAAAGTCAGGTAAATGTCAAAAAATATATTTGAAATCGTCGTTTATGTGGACTCTAAGGTCATGATCAACATACTTATCAGCAACAATCTTCCCCCTTCCACTTCCTCCTTTAATTTTTAACCGACTTCAAAAAGGAGGAGGTCCTGTATTCCACTATGTATTTTTTTTTAAATACGACGGGCCTGTTGGTCTATTGATTAGTGACCCTGACTGCTAAGCCGGAGGTCGTGGGTTCGCTCCCACCCAGGTCAAATAATTGTGTGACAAGCATGATGATTTGTTGTCTGGATGTAATTTATTTATGATATGTATGTATTTAGAAATGTATTTGTAAGTATGGAATCAGACGGCCGTGTGTGAGATGTGTGAAGTTATTATTATTATCACAGAACAGTTAAAAAATTCCTTTAACTGTTCTATTCTTATAGTTATTCTTTTGCTGCTTTTCACCGAGTGAGTGTGATTACCGGATATGCCCCTCCTAATCCTTCACTCAAAGTGGTTTTTTTTATTACAATGCACTCGTGTATTTGGAGTTGAAACCATAGGTGGCGGTAGTCACTTGCTTACCATCAAGTGACCCGACTACTCGATTGCCCCCTATAATATAAGAAATGCAATGTTTCACCTGGAGTGAACATGAACATTTAATTTCCTGACCAGGAATTAGAAGGAGGAGGTTATCAATTCGAATAGTTTTTTTTATATATGTTCGGGCATAACCGTCATATATAGACGGATTTTCAAAATTCAGTTTTTGTTCGAAAGGAGTTTATTCTCAAATGGTCTGATTCAAATTTATATAGATCTGATGACAACGGAACACTTCAAAAAATGACAGCAACTCAACCGCGATTACTGCTAGGTTTTTACTGCTTTTTGTTAGTATTGCTTGAAGTGGGTTCAACTTCTTATTATAATTGGATTTATTATATGTCTAATTAACCTTACTTTAAGGGCTTAAAGTTTATGTATGAACTACTTGTGGAAAGCCTTCGTTCAGCAGTGGACGGCGGTAGGCTAATGATGACATTTTTGAAGGGACAAGGTGTTCATTACAAATGTGAAATTATTGTTTCAGATATGGGGCGACCTACAGGAGGGAATCGAACAGGTATACAAGAGACAGCACATGGTGAAAACGAGATACATGGACCTGTATACGTATCCTTTTTGTAATTTAATTCTTTTTTTAAAAGAGGAACGAATAAACGGTCACAGAATACATATTAGTAAAATTATAGAAGAGCAGAATTATATCAAAATACTTCATTTAATATTTAATAACCTTATTTTATTAACGGAAACAAATACTACATTAACTCACTTATCTACAATTTATAACATGAAAAAAACATATTAATCGGTTATTTCGTTATTATTATTTAATGTGTTCAGACGATTAAGTAATAGTCTGGCAACATAGTGCCATATCGGAAACGGTGACTACACTTTGCAGATAGATATTTACCACCAAGGTGTCATTAGGTATACGACAATCTTATTTAACTATTTCGGCGCCTAAAAGACTACAGGAAGAATTGATGTAAAAAAACAGTGAATCTAGGAATCTACAAGTTTATATTTATTTATAATATTTTCGGACATCTGACACACAATTCCATGTAGTTTTAAACTAAGCAGAGCTTCTACTATGAAAGCTAGATTGACTGATAGAATACTTAGATACTTTTTTTTTGTAAATACATACATTATTTTACTTAGAAAATACCCAGTAGTATGTATACTAATCGGCACGAGAACATTAATTGAGCGATGCACGTGTTTTAACACGCTTTTTTAATAGGTCCCTATGGAGTAGGAAAATTATAAAACAAGTATTTTCAGATTTAATTATCTGTGGATTGTCGCGCAATTTGAAATTTAAATAAATTTTATTCTAAAGCCATGTTATTTTAATTTAAAATTAGGATTTTGTTTTAGATAGTGTTTTATTTTTGTGAAATTGTGGTAGTTTTTGGCGCCATGGATAAACTGGAAATTCGTACAGTTTTCGAATATGAGTTCCTACGTAGGCAAGACTACAAAATAATTTCGATATTTTAAACCTGCTAGACGTCCCTTTTTTAAATTTAATTATAACATGGTAAAATTACGGGCTCTCTAGTACAAGACGGTGTTTAGAGGAAAAGCTTGGGTTGAAAATATAAATCGATAATATATCCGTCACTAACGCGTCTAACCAACATTAAACAAAAAGAAAGTAACGGGTTTATTTAAAGCGAAATCAAAGGCGTTCTGTTGCGGTTGTTTGGCAAACATCCGAGTAACAACGTTCGGCTATCGATCGTTTCTTATCGACTACGGTAATAAATGCTGTGTGTTATCTCGACTACGGATAGTACGTAATGTTCGTTATCGATGTCAAATATGTTTTTTGTTATTGTTTTGGTTTCCAATCTTTTGTTTATTGTGGACGGGAATGTGTTGTTCGGAAATAATTTTGGTTGTTCGTTGCCAGATTCTTTAATATGTTTTTGAGGCCTTTGTACATACATACTTCAAATACTGTTATGATAATATCAGAATTTTATTTGTGCACAGAATCTTAATTCTCATTTTTAATAATAAAAAGATAGCTTTAGTTCTCACAGTCAAGTTTGTGTCACGTCAAAATCGGTCCAGCCGTTTGGAGATTACCTAAATATAAAAAAAAAATCATATAAATACATTACAAACAGATCAGATCCATAGTTTTTTGTAACGATGGAATTTTATACCTTCACAGCACTCATATTTCACTCAACGAGTTTAATATTGTCTATAATAAAAGGAACACGACGAAGCAGCTTTACGTAAGAGATATGAATCGTTTCCCGTGTTGTTTCTGCTATATTATTGTGTTGTAAGAACAAGTTTCATCATCATTTCTTAATGATATTGATGACAAAACGCTTATTGCTAGACAACATTAATTTATTGGGCTTAACTACCGACGCACATGGATAACTATAACTCAAGAGACGCAAGTGGGTTGATGACCTTTTGACACCCCAAAGGATTGTCAAGGAGCGAGGGGGGGGGGGGGGTCGGGGGTTTAGTCTATGGTAACTGCACTCACTTGGTGAAAAGCAACAAAAATTAATGCTTAACACCTTTTTTCTGTGAAGCCGTGGTACCTCTGCGGTCATGTCAGTCAGCCGGAGCTCTCCCACAGTGAAAAAGATTTGAGTTTGGTATCCCACTGGCAAAAGTGGAAAAATAATTTCCCATTTTTTCCGAGGCATTGAATATATAGACAAAGATAATACCATGAAGTTTAAATACAGTAATTCCTGACAAGGATAAATTACCATAGGTCTACTGTAAATACGATACGTATGGCAACATTGGTATCCATTCACTTACGCAAGATTGTGGCATTGAATAAACTATTATAATTTTATGTTACATTGTCTACAAAACCCAGGTATTGACGTTGTTTCAGAACGCATCAACTGTCAAACATAATAAGTAATACAATAATGTATAAGTAATACATGCTTAGTGTAGTATATAACAATGTCAATATAATAATATCCTGAACGAGGACCAGTCACGTATACAATTACTGCACATCGGTGCATCATCAGAGCGCAGGCAGCAGTTCAACACGTGTCAATACCAATCCAGTGTTAGCTAGGGGTAGCTATGGAACCGGCAAGAAACAGGTGAGTTATGCTCTCTATATACAGGGTGTAAAGGACGTTGGGACGAATACTGAAATAGTGTTACCAGACCCAGAATGACAAACATTGGAATTTTATTTTCTGCCGGAAAATTAGTTTTTTTTATAATTATCTTTTTTTTGGTAGAAAATGATGAAACATGATATCACAATGAGTAAACAGAACATTTTACCAAAATCAAAGGACAATGGCAGGTCCCCATACATAATTTTATTTGAACTGAAGTGTTAGCGTTTAAATATCAAAAAATCCTTAACACTTGAGAATTTATTCTTGACCATTCTCATATCAAAATTACTTGCGAAAGAAGTCTAGGAAAAAAGATATTGGATTTTGAATGTTTCGAGGTTAAGTACTAACATATTGTTAATGTTTTGTTTGAAACTAGATGGCGTTGTTTGTCAGATAGCCGAAAATATTATTTTCATTATTATTACAGTATATGAAATAAAAAAAATAAAAGCATAACATCTATTCAAGTTTAACACTAAATTAAACAAAAATAAAATAACAAACGTGGTGAGTGCGGAACTTGACAGGATCTAAACCACAGATTAAGAGATATGTACTAAACGACGACGTATCGACATTTTGAAAATATCGATGTATGTCTATTTATGTGCCGTTATCAATGACAATATATTTTTCTCATCACACTGTGTAGTGGAAAATAACGTAACTATATTCTATTTCTTTAGTGTGTTTAAAATCGTTTAAAGAGAGTCAAAAATATTTTAAATCATTTCTAATTATGTTGATTCAGTCACTCTACCGTACGAGTGAAGACGTGGGCAGAAGCAAATTCATAATCATAATAGTGAACCTTCGGTAAATATTTCAGCCAAAGCTATAAGAATCGATTATCGATAAATTGTTCCATAATATAATATTGCCACCACGCATCCCTAGTCAGTTATACGTGATGGCGAATCTGACATTACGTACTTAGGTCAAATAAAATCTTCAAAAATATCTTATCTCTTATAAGACTTATACAACACATGGTGGTGTAATGATAAATCATGGAATTTTTTTTGATTAAGTTTACTGTGACTCGATTTTTTAAACGCTTAAGTTTTAGGTAAATATGTTTCTGCCATTGTTCTTTAATAAATATCGCATACGGTCAAAAACTGCAATGTAATTAATCAAACAGCCAAAGCGTGCTGGGCTTTCCCGGCCGCCAACTTATTTAAGTGTGTGTAGACGACTGTTTGCAGGAAATAAAAATGTGGTTATTAATTTTGTGCGATACCTAAGGGGAATGAACGTAACCTTTGACAGCTGATTGCATAAAACGTTTAATTTTCCGGCAGAAAATGATTTTCAACTCAAAATGATGGTCTGAATACACTATTTCAGTATTCGTTACTACGTCCCTTACATCTTGTACGAGTATGTATATATCTTCTCTCTTTTTCTGATTATTTACTTGTAGTGTTTGTTTTCACGACTGACTTCTGATTTCTGACATTTCAATAAAATCTATCAATTCTCGACATTTAAAGTAAATGATTTGATTTAATGTGTTTTGACTTAATTTGATTTGACCATATGCTGAAGGGGGTTAGAATTCACAATCACTTTATCGCAAGTGGCCCCTTAAGTGTATTTAAGTTTATGTTGTATGTATTTGCAAATAATTATAGTATTTCATGTTTCCAGAGTGGGCAAGTGCAAGGTGGTGGAGCGCAGTTAGTTGGTCTCGAGTTGTACAAGAGATTAAAAGAGTTCCTCAGGATTTACCTCATCAACTTGCTACAGGTCTGTTAACTTTTCTGAGAAGATGTATATGTTACCTGAGGCGATATATTTTGTCGTGAGAGAGTCATGCTTCGGCACAATAATTTTTTAAAGAACGCACTAGGAAATATCCTGTGTCGCGGGGGACTTTACAGATTTGTGGATCAGATAAAGTGTCGTCCCATATGGGGATCGAACCCACAACGCTCGTCGTAGTAGGAAGCGTGGCGACCGCCTAAACCACTACGCTATCCGCGCAGTCAAATTTATGGCCATGATGATTATTTTTTCACGGTGTAGGGGGAAAATTAGATGACTGATCAGCCTATGGTAGGGACTACCACCACCCATTCTCTACCGACATCTGCAACTCAAGTCGTAAGTGCGCCGCGCAATTTGAATACCTCACTCCCTTCCCAACCCGAAATAGTGTGAGAGGGGGTTTCAGTTTAGGTAACCTCACCAACTCGGTAAAAAGCACCGAAAGAATTAGTTAACGCCGGTTTTCTGTGAAGTCGTAGTATCTCTAGCACAGCTATTAATTGTGGCTCTAAACTTAATTATTTTATATTTAATTTATGTATTGTTATTCCAGAATGGCGCTGAATTAATGGGTGAAGATGTACTTGCGTTCTACACGAAACAGTGGGAGGAGTACCAGTTCTCGTCGAGAGTCCTCAATGGTGTGTGTGCCTACCTTAACAGGCATTGGGTGAAGCGTGAATGTGAGGAGGGGAGAAAGGTAATTGGATTGATATTATACTTTCATAAATACTGGAGATCGCTTAGTGCTCTAATTTCGACTGTTAATTTATCGACCAGTATAACTTGAGCTGTCGTTGGATCACTGTTAAAATTTTATACTGAATTTGTTTGTCTGTAATTTATTTTATTATTTCCAGGGCATATACGAGATCTACCAACTGGCTCTGGTGACGTGGCGTGACAATCTCTTCCAGAGGTTAAATAAGCAAGTCACCAACGCCGTATTGAAGCTCATCGAGAGAGAACGAAACGGAGAGACTATCAACACTAGGCTTGTCTCAGGGGTACGTTCACTTATTGGCTATAAGCTGTAATCTGCGGATTTTAATGTACCCCCCATCCTGAAGGGGGAGGGGAGGGGGTTACACTCAAAGGGGTGCAACGGCATGTGACTGTGACTTAAGTTGCAGGTGACTTTGAGCGACGGTAGTCACTTACCAGCAGGCGAGCCGTCTGCTCGTCGCATGAAAACATTTCCTAGTGTAAAATTATATCAGCCTATCTCAGTCCACAGCTGGACATAAGCCTCCTCCCATTTCACGCCATCTTGCGCAAATCTTCACCTGACCTGTAGGCGTTCTACACTACGTTTGCCGAGACGCGGTCTCCACTCAAGAACTTCCCCCAACGGTTGTCGGTTCTGCGGCTAAAATGGCCAGCCTACTCTTTGACCTTGGTTCTCTGCCGGATCACCTCATTCATGATGCGATCTCTTGGAGAAACGCCGAGCAGCATAGCCCTTTCCATTGCACGCTGAGCGACTTTGAGCTTGTGGTCCAAATTATATGATATTCTAGAACAATCATAATTTGTCTGTAGGTAATCAACTGCTATGTAGCCCTCGGCCTGAACGAGGACGACACGAGCGCCCGCGGCCAGAATCTCGTGGTGTACAAAGACACCTTCGAGGCTGTGTTCCTTGAGGATACGGAGCGGTTCTACACCAGGGAGAGCACGGACTTCCTCAGGAACAATCCTGTCACTGAGTACATGATTAAGGTATGTCATTTTTCTATAACTGACTTCTAAAAAAGAGGTATCTTACCAGATTACTTGAAAATGGGTCTATATAATGTCCAGTCTCATTGTTATCAAATCGAGATCTGATCCTGGAGAAATGTAGGCAACTCTTTAATAATCTCGCGTATTTGTTATAGAAAAACACTATTTGATGAAGTGACACTGGTGATAGCAACTACTTCAAAAACTAAAAAAGTTGTTTGCTGATTAAGCTTAATTTTTGACATGATATAAAAACCGTTACAGAGATTGTTTGTATCTATTTTTCCCGACAGTATAGTTGCTCATTTCTTATCAATGCAACCACAATGTGCTAAAGCGAAGCCGAAGCCTACAGCTAGTATTTTATACATTTGCCAGAAATATTGTATAAATTATGTAGCAGATACAATACTCGTATAATTTGCCCAAGACAAATTTCGTCAGTAATACACGCATGCAATATACAGGGTATAAGGGACGGTGTAACGAATACTAAACAATCATTCTTAGTCGAAAATCATTAGAATTTTATGCTGGCAAAATTCATCAATTTCAATTCATCATTCAATTCTTCGGCTGTTTGATTAATTACATTGCAGTTTTTAACCGTATGCAGTATTTTCGGTAAAATCTTCTGTTTACTCATCGTGATATCATTTTAACAAAAAGAAAAGATTGAAAATTTAAGAAAAAGATGAATTTTCTTGCAGAAAATTCCAATGATTTACGTCTCTGAATGATGGTCAGAATACACTTTTTCAGTATTCGTTATGTCGTCCCTTACACCCTGTATTAGATTTGACACTAAATATGATCATCACCAACACATATTATAATACTTAATTTATAATAAAAAAATATTGATTATTTTTAAAAGATGAAAGTACGTATTCTTAACTATTATTATTTTTCATGAGAATTGCTTTAGTATTGTTATAGACATGTAAATATACTACCCATACACAAATAATTGCCAATTATAAAGAATCCCAAATTTGCTTTTTCCCCAACAGGCAGAGCAACGTCTTCAAGAAGAACAGCGTCGCGTCCAGGTGTACTTGCACGAGACCACGATGGAACGACTGGCGAAGACCTGTGACAGGGTTCTTATTGAGAAGCATCTCGAGATCTTCCATGCTGAATTCCAGGTATTACACGTACAACATGACTCCGTTTCAAACAGTGATATATTTCTTGCAGACAACCTTTAAGGGGTTGAAAGGTTGAACGTCGGGTTTTTTATTATTGCTTCTGTAGTTGATAAATAACAATGACCGCTTCATTAAGACGAATATTACAAAACCTGATCGCCGTGAGCGATAACACCGCCTATTGTTATACCTAAATTTATATAATATCTGTACAAATAATATTGCAGTGGTATACAATAAAGAGACAAATAAAATAAATAAAGATTTCGGTAAATATCATAATTCTAGCTTTTTAGAACTATTGTAGCCGCTTTTCTTCTCAGGCGGACTACTCACCGGCTGACCCAGTGGAGAGATCTATGAGATTACCTCAGGGCGCCTTCTAAGAGAAAAGAAGTGTGTGCGTGTGGGAAACCTACGGGACTCTTTAGAGGAAAACAACTTACACCTCAGTCATACATACATGTATATTTCAAAACAAAATTAAATTTACAATAAAAAAATCAGAGGGTATAAAAAAAAAACCGCAGCGGAGCGCGTCAGAGCCGAGCTGATGGTGCTCGGTGCCTCCTCGTCGTCCCTCCAGGAGGTTACTTCCTCTTCCGCCCGAGTCGGCTATTTATATTAGATACGGATAAAAGTTTAACAAATTACAATTATAAGTTTAAGTACGTAACTCTTGGGTACGGCTGTCCGCTTGCGTCGTGAGCCGCGCAATCACCAGCTTTGCCAGAGGGTACCGAGAAACTTGAGTCTGTACCAGAAGGCCACAAAAGAGCAAGCACGCCGTCTAAGACTGACTGTCTTGACCCCGAAATCTGGGACCCACTTTAGTGTGGGTACTTTTGAACAGATAATATATTAAGAAAATCAAATCACACAGCAATCAAAACACTATATAAGATCGGAAGGCACGAGATAGCAGTCTCCCGCGGCAGAAAGCCGGACTTATATATCTTCGGTTAACGAAGCTTCCAGAAAATAACCCCTCTTCAACATTTTACTTTGACATTTAACATCAGTGAACACAGAAGATCAAAACTGTAGTTATAAACTACCTTAGATAAATTAAAAACAATGCAACGCGGCTAATAGATGTAGCTTTTAACAAGACCAACAAATGTACAAAAAAATAACTGTTACACCACCCCCTCCCTCAAAGTATTCCCTGCGTAGCATGCGCAGGGAATATCATCACCAGGGTCAACCCAAGAAATGCAAAATAAATTATATAGCTCGCGCTGACCACACTCATTGTGAGCAATATGAAATCCAAACAAAACAATAACTACAAAAAAAACTAAGTCAAAAGGCCTTCACCCAATACTACAGAGGTGTTACCCTATTTACTACCCAAATCACTGTATGGTTCTCACATAAGTGAAACCATAGAGTGAGCAGGTGTGTGGCAAAGAGAGACCGCGCGACGCGAAGTGTGCAATCTCACATACGAGTAGAGACGGAACTGACATAGGTGGGAGAAGGATCAGAAGGTTGTTCCTTTTCACTATACTTCAAAATGTCCTTAATGTGATATACTCCCAGATCCTTACCATCCAAATCCGACAGTTCATAGACCAAAGGAGAGCGTTTGGCGGTGACAATGCATTTCATAAATTTAGGCGCTAACTTCGCCGTAAAGTTCTTAGCCTTGTTAGATAGATAGAATGTCCTCTTATAAACGATCTGTCCCACTTTCAATTCCACATGCCTTTTTCTGAGATTGTAGTATTTCTCGTTACGCCGGTGAGCAATATCTAAGTAATTCCTCACCTGGTCGTATATCCGATGTAGTTCCTTCAATCTCTCACCAAAGGACACTGGACTGTCAATGGAAACAGAATTGGGATGGGCAGGAATCTCTGTCTGTCTATAAAGAACTCCATCCCCTATGAATTCCCTACCGTGAACAAGAAAATAGGGACTGAAACGAGTGGCTTCGCTGACAGCAGTGTTTAGGGCACACTGGAGTTCCACGAGATTCTCGTCCCATTTCTTGTGATGTGACTTCACGTAGCAGGAAATTCCCTGAACCACGTTGCGTATAGCTCGCTCTGCCTGGTTGGTCTGCGCGTGATATCGAGGATTATAATAAATGTTAGGCACATTGTACTTAACCAACAAGTCCCTAAACGGTTTGCTAACAAACTGTGGGCCATTATCCATATAAATGGTTTTACAAACCCCGTGGACTAAGAAAACATTCTTTTCTATGAATCTCGCGACAGCAACGCTTGTTGCTAACCGTATAGGACACAACATGACATATTTACTGAAATAGTCCGAGACCACAATTAAATGAACGTTTCCCTTGCTGGAAGTAGGGAATGGACCCAGCAGGTCACACGAGATGGCCTCAAAAGGTCTAGACACCCGTTTCGGATTCCCCATTAGGCCGGGACGAGTAGTGTTCACAGGTTTGTACTGCTTACAAGTCTCACACTTGTCTACATATTCCTTGACACTCTCGTACATCTTAGGCCAGTAATAGTAGAGGGCCAAACGTTTATGGGTTTTCCAAACACCCCCATGGGCACTCATGACGTCGTCATGGTACTTGGTGAGCAGGGATAACCTGTCTTCCAGCGGCACCACCAGCTTCCACTCAAAATCAGAGGTCAGTGAGTATTTCTGTTTTGATAGCCTGTATAAACAGTTATTCCGTATATCAAAGTTGGGGAAGTGCTGAGGGTTCTTCTTCACCCTGTCTAGAGTGTGGAGGTACCAAGAGTCCCTAGTAACGCTGGTGCCTATTGTGTCAATCTGAATTCGAGACAGAGCATCGGGTACCACATGGTCTTTACCTTTTCGATGCTCTATATCGACGTCAAACTGGCTCAACCTCATGCTCCAGCGCGCCAGGCGACCTGTCGGATTCTTAAGTTTACGGAACCACAACAACGAGGCGTGGTCCGTAACTACGGTGCATTTCTGGCCTTCCACGTACTGCCTGAACTGTTCCAGAGCAAAGATCACCGCTAGGAGTTCTCGCTCAGTGGTGCTGTAGTTGACTTCGTTTTTGTTAAGAGAACGACTACAATACGCGATAGGGTGTTCCACTCCCTCATGTGTCTGCGTGAGTACAGCAGCCACAGAGAAGGATGACGCGTCACTGAGAATCCTAAAAGGCAATGAGTAGTCAGGCATTTTCAAAATAGGAGCGGAGACCAAAGCGGCCTTCAACAGGTTGAAAGACTCTTCAGCCTCACGCGTCCACTCAAATGATACATTCTTAGAAGTTAATCTACATAAGGGTTTACTAATCATAGAAAAATTGTTTACGAAACGCCTATACCACCCAGCCATGCCCAGGAATCTTTTCACCTCCTTAGCATTGGAAGGTGTAGGATAGTTGAGAATGACATCAACTTTACCTGGGTCTGTCCGCAGGCCATGCTTGTCAACATAGTACCCGAGGTATTTCAATTCGCTACGACAGAAATGCGATTTTTGCATGTTGATCGTGAGACCCGCATCCTTAAGGCGCTGATAGACTCTATGTAAGAGGTCCACATGCTCCTCAAAGGTGCTGGCCACAATGATTATGTCATCCTGAAATGCGAATACCCTATTGTCGAACTCGGGACCAAATAGGCGGTCCATGAGGCGTTGCATCGAAGCTGAAGCTCCGATGAGACCGAAACACATAACGTTGTACTGAAAGAGACCTCTTCTTGGGACAGTGAAGGCGGTCTTCTCGGCGGATTGAGGCGAGTCAAAAGGAATCTGCCAATACGCCGCACTTAAATCAATGGAAGTCAAATACCTTGCATTATTGAGATGGTCTAAGATTTGGTTGATATACGGCAATGGATACGCATTAGGTCACCATTCGCTTTCTCCACCATCACCACTGGTGAGTTCCACGCGGACTGAGATGGGGTCACTACTCCCATCTCCAACATCCGGTCCAGTTCCTCTTCCAAGGCTTTCTGTTTCAGGGGAGAGAGCGGATAGTACCTTTGCTTGATTGGCTTACTGTCTCCTGTGTCTATGACATGATGCACCAGAGATGTTCGACCTAAACCAACCTTGTCCGTGTTGATCGTATCAAACTTCTCAATGATGCAGTTAATTACCCGCTTCTGATCGGCGGTCAAATTGTTGTAATCCTCTAGACCACTGTTAAGAGACAGAGCCTCCACAGGATTACAGTCGCTAAAGTTGGAAAGATTGATATTCTGAGAGATCAGTCTATTCCCCAATTGAAACTGTTGCCAGAAGTCTACACCAAATATCATGGCAGTAGTAATCTCTGGAACAACATAAAACTTAATAACTCTGACAGCAGAATTATATTCAATAGGCAAAGAAATACAGCCCAGACATGGCAAATATGAGCCGTCTGCTGTAGTTAGGTTAAAGTTAGGGCTGATGCTTTCAAGCTCAAACCCTAATTCAAAAAAAATGTGGTGCGCTCCCTTACCCAACACAGAGCAAGCTGCACCCGAATCAAGTAACCCTAGAACATTTAAGTTCAGGATCTTAACTACTAAATACGGTCTTATATCATTATCCCGTTTGGTAAACAGGACCCTATCAGAGTGATCATCAGACAGAGAAACTCGCTCCGACTCGACTGGTGATCTTTTAACAAGGCCCTGACTTACTCGTTTTTTGGCTTGGCATTGCATTTCGGACACTCAGGTGCTCTGACTCCCTTATGTCCACACCGGAAACACACCACGTCCCTCGACTGTGTACAGCTGGAGGCAGGGTGACCGCCACCACCACAGCGGAAACACTTGTGTGCGCTCGAGGTCGAAGGACGGGCCACTGCTGAGACCTGTTGAGAAGTTTTTTGAACATATTTATTTTTCATATGGTGTAAATCCGAGGTGATCCCACACCTTTCGAAAGCTGGTTCCCGAAATGCCTCAGCCCTAGCACGCGCAAGTTCAAGGCGCTTTCCCAATCGCTTCAGATCAACTATAGATTTTACGTCATGAAGGGCCAATTCCTTCATGTAATCGGGCCTGATGTTGTGCATCAAAATGTCCAGTTGCTCCTCACTGGGCATCTTGCACGAGAGTCTAGAGAACATGGCCTGCATTGTAGAGATGTAGTTGCCCAATGTTTCTGATCGGGCCTGTGTACGCTGTCTGATTTCATTGCGGAGGCGATAATCATAGTCAGGAAGGTCGAAGGTTTCTTTCAGCTCCTCTATCATGCCCTCATATGAGGTGAAAGACTCCTTGTTGGTGCGGTACCACGACAAGGCCGGACCGTCCAATAGGTCAGAGAAGGCTGTGAGGATCTTATCCTTGGTGACTTCCCGAGCACATCTGAGCTCCTCTAGTCTCTCAATGAAGACACGTACACAAGAAGAGCCATCATATTTTATATTAAAAGAATTTAAATTAACGGGTCTATCCCTTACTATTATATTTGAATTAGGGTCGGAACTGGATGCGTTGGGTCGCGTCGAGCGGTCCCCCCTTACCACAGGTGAGGTGTAACCTATGTGGTCGCGATGAGTAGGATCGGTCTCCTTCTCCGAAACCTCAGAGTCCGAGTCGGTATCTGATTCAGACACTGCCAAAACTTTGACTAAGCGGTCACGGATGCCTACTAGTTCTGGACAGTCTAAACCACACCTGGCTAACCTAGCGAGAAGATAATTAGCCCTCAATGCAACTCTAGTACGACAATTTTTATTCGAAACAAAATCACCTGAAGAAAGGACCTGTTCCAGCTCAGAGATCTTAGGCTCGCAGACAGACAACTCAGAGGTGGCAACAGCAGGAACAGCGGCGATGGCCTTAATGCTGCCACGCCGGATAAGCCGCAAAGCAGTACGCAGTTCAACTCGCAAGCCGACAACCGTATCCTCCGGATTCGCTGAAATCCCCATGGCAGACAGTTCATTAATAAGTTCATCCTTTTTAAGGTAGTTAATGCACTTACGTAAATGTGCCATGGTGGTTTACAATTTAAATTCGATTATACAAAAATAATCCTAACAAGTTAACAAACCAGTAATGCAGACTTAATGTCTTTTACAGTTCAAAAAAAAAGTAAAAAATAATGATATTGAGTAGACTCCTTCACTATCAACAGAGTGTGAGAAGTTTAAAGTAAATTAATATTTAAAAAATATTATAACAAAATATTAAAACATCAAGTAATATCTCAAAGTAAAAAAATATTGCTACTGAGTATATTTCTTCACCATTAAGTGTGAGAAAGCTAAAGCAAACTAATATTTTTCACAAATATTATAATAAAATATTAAAATATCAAGTAATATTTCAAAGTAGAAACTGAGTATACTTCTTCACTATTAAGTGTGAGAAAGCTAAAGCACACTAATATTTTTAACAAATATTGTAATAAAATATTAAAATATCAAGTAATTTCTCAAAACTTGAGAAGCAAATTCAACTAAAGACAAAGATATTCTTGTTTCACAATTCAAGACACAAGTTATATTATCTTTAGAACATTAACACAGTAATCCAATGAATTGACAAAGTTTAATTATCATAAAAGTTATTTCAACATAAATTTTAAGTAGGGTATGTATATCACAAAACTATTTTATTCTAATTTTAAGCCAAGAGGTTATATAAAAAAAATGGAGGGTACATAAAACTTTATAAGTTAAGTTAAGTTTCAAGTAAATTACACCAGTAGTACTGGGATAAAAAAACACACTGAATATACACGTATGCACAACTTCACGCTACGGACCTCAAAGGTACGAACAGAAGTAGCTAACACAAAAAAAAAAGAAGAAAAAAAACTAGTTAGGCCAAAAAATGTTTCAAACTCACCCGAAATATGTGCAGTAGGAATTTTGAGTTAAATTTGGAATTTAGGTGTCTCACTGATTTTCCTTGCCTCAGGGATGATGGTACGATAGGCTGAAAATACAATGAGAATAAAATTATTACATGCGTACTGCACCCGCACAACCAATTAACGTCCTGGGGAGTATCGGACGGAGGGAAGTGTCTCCTCCAAAGTGAATACCCTCAGGCACCCTCACACAGCACACACACAGAGGTTTGGATCACTGGCCAAACGTTGGTCGCCAATTTGTAGCCGCTTTTCTTCTCAGGCGGACTACTCACCGGCTGACCCAGTGGAGAGATCTATGAGATTACCTCAGGGCGCCTTCTAAGAGAAAAGAAGTGTGTGCGTGTGGGAAACCTACGGGACTCTTTAGAGGAAAACAACTTACACCTCAGTCATACATACATGTATATTTCAAAACAAAATTAAATTTACAATAAAAAAATCAGAGGGTATAAAAAAAAAACCGCAGCGGAGCGCGTCAGAGCCGAGCTGATGGTGCTCGGTGCCTCCTCGTCGTCCCTCCAGGAGGTTACTTCCTCTTCCGCCCGAGTCGGCTATTTATATTAGATACGGATAAAAGTTTAACAAATTACAATTATAAGTTTAAGTACGTAACTCTTGGGTACGGCTGTCCGCTTGCGTCGTGAGCCGCGCAATCACCAGCTTTGCCAGAGGGTACCGAGAAACTTGAGTCTGTACCAGAAGGCCACAAAAGAGCAAGCACGCCGTCTAAGACTGACTGTCTTGACCCCGAAATCTGGGACCCACTTTAGTGTGGGTACTTTTGAACAGATAATATATTAAGAAAATCAAATCACACAGCAATCAAAACACTATATAAGATCGGAAGGCACGAGATAGCAGTCTCCCGCGGCAGAAAGCCGGACTTATATATCTTCGGTTAACGAAGCTTCCAGAAAATAACCCCTCTTCAACATTTTACTTTGACATTTAACATCAGTGAACACAGAAGATCAAAACTGTAGTTATAAACTACCTTAGATAAATTAAAAACAATGCAACGCGGCTAATAGATGTAGCTTTTAACAAGACCAACAAATGTACAAAAAAATAACTGTTACACTATTAATAATATAATTCCAATAAATATTGAAATATATTTTTCAATTGATTAGTCTAAAATAATGACTTTGTAAGTTGTTATTTGTTATGTAAATTTTTTATACAATATTGTCGTTTTGACAGGTGACAGAATTAATTAATAATTAATTAGTAATTTGACTAAGGTGTTAACTACTCTATAGTTTGACCCTGTTTTAAGCATTTATTTTCTATCACCATATTATTTCTGTTAAGCCAGTCCAAATGTGCTGGAGCATAGCTCTTATACGCATAACGATATATTGGTAGATGGTCATTATTGAGTGACGTAAGTATTGACTTGATAAGTCTTGTAAATTTCGAATGTATGTAAACTTGGACCCTTGATTTCGCTTCGGTGGTTCTTTTTGAGGTTCATAATAGAAAAAGTCAAATTCGGTTTCCTTTTCGTTCTCGATTTCGATTTGTTTCGTTGCTTTGTTGGGGCCCGTGCTCAGTGGTGGTGCGTGTTGCAGAAACTGTTGGACGGCGACAAGAACAGCGACCTGGGCCGCATGTACGCGCTGGTGATGCGCATCCCCGACGGGCTGTGCGAGCTGCGCCGCCTGCTCGAGCACCACATCCACGCGCAGGGGCTGCAGGCCATCGACAAGTGCGGGGAGTGCGCCCACACCGTACGTACAGCCCCACACGCACACCCGCAGACATGCCTACACCCACATACGTACACACACCTACACCCACATACGTTGTTCGTGGGTGTTCTTTGTGTCCGTTTCATGGTTGTAAAGTCCCCCGTCACACAGGATATATTCCTAATGTATTTTTAAAAATAAAGAAAGAAAAAAAATTACATTGTCCTTGTTGATGTCCAAATACCTTCTATAAAAACTTGAATGCGTAGTGGACCTTACCTGGTTTAGATATTACTAGCATATATATAACACTAGCTATTGCCAGCGGCTGGGCTCGAGTGATCATTTCTAATTTCGTGTTTATAATTTTGAAAATTACTAACTTCTTTACAACTGTTCATCCCTTATTTTACCTTAGGGGGAAATTTCCAACAATCCTCTCTTAATGGGTACTTACAATATAAAAAACATTAGCTGCCAAAATTTTAAGTTTGTAGCCCCAGCGGTTTAGGCTCTACGTTGATGAATCAGTCAGTCAAGGCAAGTTGACTGCACGGATGGTCTACTACGCTAAGTGTTGTGGGTTCGATCCCCATATGGAACAACACTTGTGATCCACAAATTGTCGTCCCATGTATGTATGTATGGTTTGTTCAAAACCCCTGCGACACAGGATTATATTCCTAGTGCGGGACTTGTCTTTTTATAAAAAAGTAATTTTATATTGGTACACAGACACACTCACGCTGTTATATCCGGAAGTACAAACAGAGGAGAGCATATCAAATACTAGAAATGTTGCCTATATGTATAATAATATAAGAAAATTTCGGTTCCAGGATCCTAAAGTATACGTGTCCACGATATTAGAGGTACACAAGAAATATAATGCATTGGTTCTCGTCGCTTTTAACAACGAGTCTGGATTTGTCGCGTCGTTGGACAAGGCTTGCGGCAGATTTATCAACAGTAAGTGTCAGGTTAAGGTAACACTCCGACGGATTAAGACTGCGGAGTGTCACGACCCCTCTTCATCCCTTGGGTATCGTAAAAGTAGACTTGGGAGCAAACTACGTTGGACAACGGCGCTTCAAAGAGAAGGAAAACTTGAAACAAACCCTACACCAATCCGTCTGGCCAGTAGGCCTAAATCCCTTTCTAAGGAGAGGCCTATGTCCAGCAGTTTACAAATTGAGGCCATTTATGTAGTGTGAGGCTAGGGCATGATGACGAGGTTTAGATAGTGACCATAGGTTAGGTTTGGTTTAAGTTTAACTATTAAAAGCCAGTAGTAGTAAAATAATGGTGGCTATCTGAAATATAATCAGTCTAGTTGATAGTGTGCCTTGGTTAAATGAAAAGGATAATAGAATATTTTATTAATGATATTAAATAACATATGGACAGTTTGCTAAATAACTATCAATAGTTGCAATATAAAATTAAAGATTACCAAAAATGTTAAAAAGAAATTGTATTTTATAGTCCATTTGTGTTAAGCAAATATTGACGCTTCGATCAAGTCCCGCACCCTGACCAATCAGGTTCCAAGCTTTCCTACGAAACGATCATATCTTGGAATATGATTGATCAGGGGGCGGGGCTTGATCGATCGACTATAGACATAACAATATTTTTGTTTTTAACTTATAAGAATACAATTTTATTGTAGTGACACAATACCTTCATCAACCTGTAATTTTACCAGGTAACGCAGTCACAAAAGCAGCTAATTCATCGTCCAAGTCTCCGGAGCTGCTTGCCAAGTACTGCGACCTGCTGTTGAAGAAGTCCAGCAAGAACCCTGAGGAGGCAGAGCTCGAAGATACTCTAAATCAAGTGGTACGAATAGATCTGCGACACATTTCTAGTGCAGGAGTTGTCTTTAAAAAAAAATGTGCTACGAGTCGTGACCACTAACAAACTATAATAATAAAGTGTTAACGTGTCTGTTTCAGATGGTTGTATTTAAATACATAGAGGACAAGGACGTGTTTCAGAAGTTTTACAGCAAAATGCTCGCGAAACGACTGGTGCAACACATGTCCGCTAGTGACGATGCTGAGGTAACGCGGTAGAAATATATTTATGTGTTACCAGCTGTACTCTGTCACTTCAATAGTCCACTGCTGGACATAGGCCTCTTCTTAGAAAGTAGGTTTTGGCCTACTATACCACGCTGACCAGACGGGTTGCTATAGGCCCGCCCCGGTCCAGGAGGGCTTGGCGCCGTGTGGGTCAGCTGTCCCGTAGTTTCGGCCAAAGTATTGGCCGACGCCGGCAGGCTGCTCATCGGTTTCGTGAGCGCCAGGATCACAGTCCTGGCGGCGAGACCGATGAGGTGTTTTAAATGCCTGGCCGCGGGACACACGCGCGTCAAGTGCGACAGTTGTTTTGACTGCGGCGGACTGTGCTTCCGCTGCGGTCAACCGGGGCATAAGGCGGCAGAATGCTCTGCCGCCCCTCACTGCCCAGCGTGTGCGGCGGGCAATAAGCCCGCCAATCACCAGATGGGGCAGAGAGGCTGCAAGCCTCCCCGCAGTTCTCGGCAGACGTCAGGGGCTAGCCAGTCGACCCAGGCTGCCTCTGATGTAGTACGTGCGTCGTCGTCGTCGCCCATGGAGGAGGTTGTAGAGACGATCCAGTAATGGATCAAGTCTCCAACCTCCTGGTCCAGACGAACCTGAACCACTGTGCCGCGGCGCAGGATCTCTTCCTGCAAACCATGGCACAGTGGTCGATAGGTGTTGCCGTAGTCGCGGAGCCCTATTCTGTCCCTCCCCGTCCAAACTGGATGGGTGACTGGGACGGCTCCGTGGCAGTCGTCGGTTCCACGACGGCTCATTCCCCGCCCTTGTCGCTAAGAGACAAGGGCACTGGATATGTTGCCGTCGAGTGGGGGGGGATCACCATATATGGTGTCTATTTCTCCCCCAACCGGAGTTTGAACGACTTCGAGGTTTTCCTAACTAGCTTGGAGACCTCGATACGGCGACTAGCGTCTGGGCACGTCCTTGTGCTGGGGGACTTCAACGCAAAGTCCATTGCGTGGGGTTCCCCCAGGACGGACGCAAGGGGCGAGGCCGTAGAGGAGTGGGCGGCCTCGGTGGGCCTCTGTCTTCTAAACAGAGGCTCCACCAACACGTGCGTGCGACAGCAGGGGGGGTCGATAGTGGACCTCTCGTTCGCTACCCCTGCCCTCGCCGCACGAGTAAGGAACTGGCGTGTCCTGGAAGAGGTTGAGACGCTCTCGGATCACCTGTATATCCGATTTGAGCTCTCCCGGACCCAGGACTCCAGTAGGGGTCACGTGGCGCGGCGTTTATCCCGCTTTCCGCGGTGGGCTGTTGCCAGACTGAACCGGGACCTACTAGAGGAGGCAGCCATAATTCACTCGTGGCTGTCTCCTCAGGCTCCGACCGAGGAGGTCGACGTGGGGGCTGGCCGCTTTCGCGATGCGATTACGCATATCTGCGATGCGGCCATGCCCCGCATTCGAGGTCGTCGGCCTCCAAGGAAGGAGGTCTACTGGTGGTCCCAGGAGCTGGCGGACCTCCTACACACGCAGTCGGCGGCGTCACCGTGGAGACGGTGAGGAGGACCGGCTTCATGAGGAGTACCGACGGGCGCGGAAAACTCTGAAGCTGGCCATTAGCCGCGCCAAAGAGGAAAAGAGACAGGAGATGCTGGAGGGTCTTAATCGTGACCCCTGGGGTCGCCCTTACGGAGACTCTCCAGCCCAGCTTCCTGCGAGAAGTGGTTGAGTGCCTTTTCCCACAACGAGCGGAACACACTCCCCCGTCGATGGCCTCCCTGGCCGGAGACGACGGGGAGCACGGGGAGGACAATGTTCCGCCCGTCCGGGATTCGGAGGTAGGGGCGGCTGTTCTACGGATTCGTTCCAAGAACACCGCCCCTGGGCCAGACGGGGTACCGGCCCGAGTGCTGGCCCTGGCCCTCAACCACATGGCAGACCGCCTCGGGGAGGTGTTCGACGCTAGCTTGGCGTCGGGACGCTTCCCTGAGTGCTGGAAGAGCGGGAAGCTGGTCCTATTGAGGAAGCCGGGACGGCCTGCCGATTCGGTCGCGGCCTATAGGCCCATCGTGCTGCTGGACGAGGCGGGCAAATTGTTTGAGAGGGTTCTTTCTGCCCGCATCGTCCGGCACCTCTGCGAGGTGGGCCCCGATCTGTCGGACGCCCAATTTGGTTTTCGGGCGGGGCGTTCGACAGTCGACGCCGTGTTGCGCCTGAGGGCCGTGACCGAAGAGGCAGTGAGCTGTGGCGGCGTGCTGTTGGCGGTGTCATTAGACATCGCCAACGCATTCAATAGTCTGCCATTCAGCTGCATCAGGGAAGCACTCCACTATCATGGGGTGCCAAAGTACCTGAGGCGGCTGGTGGCAGACTATTTAGAGGAGCGTACCGTCGTGTACGAGGACCGAGAAGGTAATTTGAGGTGTCGGCCCATGTCGTGCGGTGTTCCACAGGGGTCTGTTCTTGGACCCCTCTTGTGGAACATAGGGTACGACTGGGCCCTTCGCGCCGATTTCCCCCCCGGGCTGGGTGTAATCTGTTACGCAGACGATACCCTCGTGACAGCCCGGGGGGCAAACTTCCAAGAGGCGGCGCGCCTGGCCACAGGGGGAGTCTCCCTGGTGGTCGGGCTCATTGAGGCGCTGGGCTTACGGGTGGCCCTAGATAAGACGGAGGCCCTGTTATTCCATGGGCCCCGTCGTGGTCCACCCCCTGGCGCCTCAATCGTGGTCAACTCGGTCCTCGTACCGGTTCGGGCCCAGATGAAATATCTGGGACTGATCCTCGACGGGAGGTGGCTCTTCGACGAGCACTTCCGACAGCTTGCTCCAAAGCTGGTCGGCGCTGCGTCTGCCCTAGGGCGACTTTTGCCCAATATGGGTGGACCCAGCGTCGCGACAAGACGGCTGTACACGAGGGTTGTCCGGTCAATGGCACTGTACGGTGCACCGGTGTGGGCGGCGGCTCTGACCGCCCAGAATAGGGTACGCCTCTGGCGCCCTCAGAGGGTAATGGCGGTCAGAGCCATACGCGGTTACCGCACCGTTTCGACGGAGGTGGCGTGCGCGTTGGCCGGAACTCCCCCGTGGGATTTGGAGGCGGAAGTGCTCGCCGAAGTTTATCGGCGAGTGGCTGACTCCCGGGCGGAGAGCGGATTTCGCCCTCCGCCCGAGGATGTGCGCGAGTGGCGCGAAGCCGCTCGCCGAGCCACGATGGCTCGTTGGTCGTTCCGGCTGGAGACTCCACGCGCTGGCTTCGCCGCCGTGGAGGCTCTCCAGCCGGTCATCGCCGAGTGGGCAGGGCGGCAGCACGGGACCCTTTCCTTCCGACTGACGCAGGTGCTTTCCGGGCACGGTTGCTTCGGAAAGTACCTGCACACGGTCGCTAGGAGGGAACTGAGTCCCGCCTGCCACCACTGCGACTGCAGTGAGGACTCGGCCCAGCACACGCTGGCGGTCTGCCCATGGGCGGCGCAGCGCCGGGCCCTCACTGCAGTCATCGGAGTGGATCTCTCGCTACCGGCCGTAGTACGCTCCATGGCCGGTAGCGACAGTTGTTTTACCGCGGTCGCAACCTTCTGCGAGGTAGTAATCTCGCGGAAGGAGGCGGCGGAGAGGGCCCGGGAGGACGACCTCCACTCGGACCCGATCCGCCGCTGGCGAACCGGGCGGCGGAGGCCCGCCTACCACAGCCTCATGCCGCCCTGAGTGTGGCCGCGGGTGGACGGGGTGGGTTTCCCCTCCACCCGCATTAGTTTGGCCAGCCGCGAGGGGGCGGCGTCCGCGTGTGCCGGACGTCGCCTAAAGAGAGGAAAATACATTGAGACGGAGCCCGCACCAGGAGCGGGCTGGCGCTAGGAGGGGTCCGGATGTCTTAACAACAGCTGTTCCCGGATCCCTCCTGTTACAGGCGCAGAGTGGCACACCGTGTGGTTTTAGTCGGTCCGAGTCCGACACACCACCCCGCCGCAAACCCCGGAGGGGTGACGGTCCGAGGGGATTTCCACACGTTAAAAAAAAAAAAAAAAAAAGGGTTTGTTTTAAGTTTTCCTTCTCTTTGCAGTGCTGTTGTCATGCATAGTTTGCTCCTTTAGTCGACTCTTACGACACCCACGGTATGTATGGGGGTGGTGACACTCCGTATTCTTAATCCATCACCACACGGATAACGGTTGTTGCATTAATGACAAATAAAGAAAAAACTAAAAACAATCTTTGAACCATGTTGTATATTGTGACAAAATCTAAGCTCAAGCGGTGCAGAACTTTTTGAGTTTTTGGAGTGAATACAAACCAATTTAATATTTTTATATAATTAGATTATGTAATATTTAAGTGTTTAGTATTGAAATTCCTGGGTACTGAAGGTCAATTCTCGTAATAAATAATAATAATATATTAAACATCGAACGTTGACTGTAATGTGATTATATCGAAGTGTGACAGAAAGTTTTATGACATTTTTGAGATCTAGAGTAGATCGGAACTGAATATTTTAACCAGTTTCTAATAAGAGATTGACCTTATGATCTCCAACGTTACTACCGGAATTACCTATCTAGATTGTCTATGATAGCAACTAATTGTAATTCATTTCCGTAGGCATCGATGATCTCAAAATTGAAGCAGGCGTGCGGATTCGAATACACAAGCAAACTACAAAGAATGTTCCAGGTTAGTTAATACCTTTTACTTCTCGAGTTATAATTTGTGTTAGTTATTAGTGTATTTACATAATAGAAAAAAATAAGCTACCTATAATCCATTTGCGTTAAGAAAATAGTGTCGCATCGACTAAGCCCCGCCCCCTGACCAATTAAATTCTAAGAAATTATCGTTTCGTACAAAAGCTTGGAACATGATTGGTCAGTGCGGGGCTTGAGCAATGCGTCATTATTTTCTTAAAGCGAATAGACTATAGAGACCTTTGCTGTTTCACAGTATTAAGTTTACATTAAAATTTACGCATATCTTTAAATAATTTAAGTGGGGAAAAGCTCAAAAAAAAACTTGTGCAAGTGCAAGTTTTTTCTCTTTCTCTAAAAATAATCCGCGTACCGCAATGAGATCGGGTGATAAAAAGAATGAAGATTAAGAAATGAACAAAAGGGAAATCTTGAACGTTGTGGGTGAAAATTAGGTGATTTTCAATGTTTGATGACATTCCTGTGTTTTAAATATAGCTTATTGCCTTCTCCGATACTGGGCTATCAAATACTTAATGAAATTTCAATTCGAACCAGTAGTTCCTGAGATTAACGTGTTCAACCAACTAAACAAACAAACTCTTGAGCTTAACAATATTCGTATAGATATTTATGGAGGAGCGGGTACACACCTTAAACATTAGGGAATTCCACCATCTGTACTTCCCAGGTCGCAACCTATCGGTGGTTCTTGGGTATTAAAGCAGATCATGACTGCGTCACTGGTGTATTTAAAAAGGAATTGGTGAAATTCCCATTGTAATCTAATCTCCACAGGACATAGGAGTATCAAAGGACCTGAACGAAAACTTCCGCAAGCACATGGCGAACAGTTCTGAACAGCCCCTACACATTGACTTCAGCATCCAAGTGCTGTCTTCCGGCTCCTGGCCCTTCCAACAGTCGTCATCCTTCCAACTGCCTACTGAAGTAAGTTTAAATACATTTACTTTTTATTTTTTAAAAGGCAACTCCCGCACCAGGATGTATATCCTGTGTCGTGGGGAACAGACAATCATTCAAACGAACAAAAAGAACACCAAGACTCAGAACAACAATTAGTGAATCACACAAAGTTTGGATCCATGGGATTGAACCCACAAGACTGCGCGCAGTAAGAAGCGGCAAGGTGACCGCCTTAACCACTACACCAACCTTGCAGTCGAAATATTAAAACTACAGATAAAGATATTTTTAGTTATTTTACTTTTGAAATAGTATGGAAAGTAAATAATAATAATAATAACCTCACACATCTCACATACGGCCGTCTGATCCCAAATTAGGCAAAGCCTGTGCGATGTTAACCAGACTTCTGATAAACATACTTATATATTTAAAAATACATACATAGGATAGATAACTTACACCCAGACACAGAACAAATGATCGTACTCATGACACAAATATTTGTTCTGGGTGGGAATCGAACCCATGACCTCTGGCTTAGCAGTCTGGATTACTAACCACTAGGCCAACAGGCCAGTCAAGAAAATATGTTTGAAAGATAAACATTCTACGTGAGTATAAGATAGTTAAATTGTATATTTTTAACTTTACAGTTGGAGCGATCAGTACATAGGTTTACAACGTTCTACTCGTCCCAACACTCCGGTCGCAAACTGAACTGGCTGTACAACATGAGCAAAGGGGAACTCGTCACCAATTGCTTTAAAAATAGGTAGGCATAACTATCTTGAACACAGTTTTTTTTCCAGAGCCACGCTTCGGCAGAAATGAGCTGAATTTACCAGCTCAGTGACGTAACCGGAGCGTAACCCAGGGGAGCGTAACCCTTGAGTCTGGAGATGTGGGCTCAAATTTCGACAATGCACTTGTGGATCTTAAATTCAGGTGCCCGTGGGCGTATGTAGTCATTTACCATCAAGTGACTCATCGACTGCTTCTTTTGCCCTCGTATATCATTAAAAAAACACCATCTTCCTACCCTTTTTCGTCTCATCGTTAGTCTACGAGCCCTTAGTATTTCTCTTAGCACAAAGAATGAAGGGGAATTAGGGTAAGGAACCTTTAGGTGGCGAGGGAGTGGCAACTGAACGAAATGGAAATGTAAACCCATACAACGAGGGTCGGTATTACCACCGAGGGATTCGGTTGTCGGAATTGAACCGATTGAAATCACGAGGTGCGGGAACGACAGCGCTGTTATAATATTAGCGGTTGTATTTCGAGCCACAGTAGAAGTCCCCCCTCCCCCCTCCCCCCTCACGTCTGATTATTACCTCAGAGTAGCAGAGTACTTATGTTAGCTGTATTGTGTTTTCAGATACACGCTACAAGCCAGTACGTTCCAAATGGCTGTTCTATTACAGTATAACGACAACACGTCGTGGACCGTCCGCCAGTTGGAACAACACACGGGAATCAAAGGAGATTTTCTCATACAGGTATGTACCGCTTCAGGGATGATGGAATCAGAGAAATAGTTTTAGGGTACACATACGACCGTTTATTAAAAGATCAATGATACACTGCCGTAATACCTGTTGATTAATTATAGGTACATTATTATATATGATACATAGAATAAACATTGTAGAGACATGACATAACTGTTTTACGTTTACATAGAGCAAGTACGAATAATTATATTATGTGCCTACGGCACAGGTACGTATATCAACTATATAGTATTAAAAGAAAGACTTAGTGGTTAAGGCATAAACCTTGAAATACCTGGAGGGAGCTCTGTATCAAGACAAGAAGCGTCACACCGCAGTGTGAGTACCATCGTACCGTACGGGAATTAACGCCATCATATAATTACACACTTTTAAATACAGGTTGATTGTGATTGCTGAGAGTATAACTAGTATAAACGTCAGGCATGCTGACTGCTAACGATTCCCACCCAGGACAAATATTGTGTGATGAGCACGGTCTTTTGTTGTGTGTCTGTATTGTAATATATAAGTATGTTTATCATTAGTCTGGTTATAATAGTACAAGGCTCTGTCTAATTTGGGATCAGTGAGATATATTATTATATGTGCTAAATCATTAAGGTTATAACCATATCTTTAACAGGTGCTGCAAATCTTGCTGAAAGCTAAACTGCTAGTCTGTCAAGATGACGAATCGGAACTGACTGAATCTTCCGTGGTTGAGCTTTTTACAGGCTATAAGAAGTAAGTACAAATAGTTGTTTATTTTTATTTGTTTAACTAGCTTCGGATTTCGGTAACCGTGATCCTTTTTTCGCACGGTTTATATAGTATAGGTTTTTTTGCGACCTCTTCAACGTTCATCGTTATATTTCAGTCAATTTACATAAAACCATCATGAATTATACACCTTAACCTTCCTCAGGAATCACACTATTTATTAGTGAAAACCGTACAAAAATCCGTTAGCTAGTTTTTGAGTTTATCGCGTTCATACAGACAGATGCGATCGGGCACTTTACTTTATGATATGTAAGGATAAGTCACTAAAATATTTATGTGAATGTAACCATACTACGTCACCCGCTTTTTACCCGCTCCCCCCTCTCAGTAACCACCCGTCGTATGTGCCAAGCCCGACATATGACATTTCTCTCGTAGGTTAAACTATCCGTTCGTAAATGTCATCCACATCTGCTTAGTTGTTTTGGGTGAAAAAGTAACAAACATTCATTCATGCATCCATATTACAACTTTAGTTATATTATGATAATATATTATTAGTAAAACTTAACGTTTGCTAAAACTGGTATGTATTAGCTGTTAAAGAATAATTAAAGAATTAAATAATCACTATGCCAATGTCTTCATCAAAGACTTCCCCAGTCAAGCAGGGCCAATTCGAACATATAATTCTATCTACGTATTAATTAATATTGTATTTGTTTGTCTACAGCAAAAAATTACGCGTGAACATAAACATCCCCCTGAAGACTGAGCTGAAGGTAGAACAGGAGGCGACTCACAAACACATCGAGGAGGATAGGAAGATGCTCATTCAGGTAAAATTTATACATGTTTCATTTTATTTTATATTACCTTATTTTTGTATCACAGCCAGATGTTCTCGAATGTTAGTCGGTCACGTGTCACGTAGTATTTTCAGACCCACTGCGTTAATCCTGTAGCGTGAGCTGGCAATACTCTGGCGCATTGATTGCGTAATTGAATTGTGTTGTACCGAAACGTTTCAATTCACGACCTCGTCAAATTGAAAAGACCAATAAACTTTCAAATTTGAATTAATTGACAAGCTTGTTTCTCTAGTGTTTAATGATCCGGACTGCTGGGCCGGAGCTGGTGGGTTCGATTCCCACCCAGGACAATCAATTGTATAAGTTCGTTTTAATCGTTAGTTCTTTGTCTGGGTGTAATTAATGAGCAGTTGTTTGCCTTAATACATACTTTATTTAATCTAGTGTATCACTTAATAACTTAATTATAATTAATTTTCTAGTGACTAGATCAACAGTTCATTCGACGTAAATGACATTTTAAACGTAATTTTCAAAACAATAATTAATCATAACGTTCAGTATCATCAGAATAAAAATTATCAAGTTTTATTTTGATTTCTTACAAGAGTAAGTTGAATTAGTTTTTAAACTATTCCTTATAGTGTTATTCTGTGTTTTCAGGCCGCGATAGTGCGGATAATGAAGACACGCAAAACATTGAAACATCAACACTTGGTCGTGGAAGTACTCAACCAGTTATCATCACGCTTCAAACCCCGCGTACCCGTTATCAAGGTACGTATCACATCTGTGCATTATACGTGAGAACAATTATTTTATATGCATTTGTTAAACAAAATATATAACAGAAATGTGAAATCAGAAATACTTAAGTTTATATGAAGTAGTGTGTGCAGTGACATTCAGTCCATCCAAGGTCCATCACGTGATAGTTAGGGCAATACATGCGACTGTGACAGCGCCTGGAACTTGCGACCCAGGAGTAGGTTTAAGGAGTACTCGTTTGGATATTCGTTCAAGGAAAGAGTTTACTGAAGCACTTGGCAATCCAAGTCTTAAAGCAGCTTTATCAGAACATCGGTTTTTACTTTTTTCACCTTTCGGTCACAATACGATAAAATCACATTATGAATGTAATTTTTTAACGAAGTTCCTTATCGCGCGTTGTGAATGGGAAAAAATTCTCACGAAAAGTTGTAACGACACTTTTTATGTCAGTCATTCAGCGCCATCTATCGAATAGATAGGAAATCATTTCTCAAGGAGATTTTACCAATGTATAAATTGTTTTAATTAGAAACCAACTGAAAAATATGTAGGTAATAGCCGCTTTCATAAATGGCGTTGTAATCGTGTCGAATCTGTTTTACTCGATCGTCACAACTTCGTTCCTATCGGGTGTCCCACGACACCACACGGCTTTTTATATTTAATAATATTTTTTAATTATTAATAATAACGTTGGATGTTTAATACTTTATTACGAGAATACCTTTTATGACAGTTTTGCGATCGAGAGAATTTTATTACGAAAATTAATCATCTGGACAGTGTTCATCATAGTCGTAGAATAGTGTCGGATCTGACATTTATTGAACTTTACAGGGCAGCCATTTCAAATAATTATGTTATTTTTGACATAACTTTTTTTTATCTAAATCTGTAATTATGAAAATTGGCATACAAGTGAAAAAAGCCGTTGTTTTAAAAGCCAATAAAAATAACAACTAATAATTATACAATTTTCTATAAAATCACATGTTTCATTTTACTTTGAGCGTCTATCAAACAAACAGTGAATAATTTAATAAATCTAAAATACATAATATTTTCTTCAATGTAGTAATAATATTTTTTTTTTATAATTATATTTATCAATAATATAGTAACAACTGAAATTCGTATTTTTTATAAAACCGACATTATTCAACGATCATGACGACTTGTTCTTATTTAATTAAGTTACCGTTTCTTATTTTTTTATCTCAATACATTTTTTTCCCTTTTCCCTTTTCAAAACCTGTTCTTTTTCAGAAATGCATCGACATATTGATCGAGAAGGAATACTTGGAGCGCACGGAGGGCGAGAAGGACACCTACAGCTATCTGGCGTGATTGCTTCGCCTAACTATGTAATAAATGGTATATAAACAATATTATGTACACTGTTCCTTTTATTTTATTACCTCGGTCCTGTTCAAACCTACCCACATTCCTATCTTCGATCAGCACAAGTCTCTCATGTTAGAGTCGACTGCCATCAGACCTCCGAAACTCAAGTCCTAGGCGATATCGAAGTTCTGTAAAAATACCGTTGTTGGACTTTTTAGGGCTTCAACTACCCGTAGCGATTGTCACAGATGTGTGTGGCAACCGTGACCGACGGCTAACGTGCTCCCCGAGGCACGGAGGGGTCTCAGTGTATTGAGAATGGTCACCCATCCATAGACTGACCTGGCTACGATTGCTTAACTTTGCAATATGCTGGTTGTGCCCTGTTGAGCGTGTTAGTGTCGACTCCAAAACATAAATTCTGCTTCAATTCCCTTCGTCGTCTTATAAGTACGAGACCCGGCTGCAGAATCAGTGCACTCATCGAGTATGTGCTAAAAATGCATATTTATGATTAGGAGATTATATATCTACCAGGTTGCCCATCAAAATGTGGTCGCTAGTATTTTTAATTAATTTTTGTTAATTGATTTTTGGGCAATCATTTCGTTCAATTGTTTTTTTATTAATAAAATAGCGTCCACTTCACGGCTATATATATAAAGGCTGAAAAACCGCAGCCAGGTGTAAACAGGTATGATTTTGAGACATTCATACGTTCATAACGTACGTTTGTTATTTATGTATCAAAAAAAAGCTATTTTTTTTCTGTTTATTTTGATATATGTTTGCCTAATTAAATCTGGCCTCAAATAAGGGTTGCTGGCTGTTAAAGATGGTAAATATTTAAGCTAGAGTGAAAGCGAGTTAGCGAGTAACATCACTAGTCAGACGAGGATAGCGATTGCCAGCTTTAAACTTAAACGGCTTTAAAGTCGAATGCTAGTGGTCTCTACTCACAGATTACCCTCTAATAGATTCTGCATACAGGGCCACAAAGACACGCAACACCTACTTGTTCTAGCTAGCATACGACGTAACGCTAAGAATAACGACTTTAGTTCGTATTATTGACAATTTAAAATAGGTTTATATCAAATGTAATAGAAATGGCTTCCTGTCCTGTGAAATGGTGTGGCAAGTCAGCTAAGACATCTAGTTATCAAAAAGATGGCATAACATTTTATAGGTAAGTAAATTATATTCTTATCACGTTCACCTATTTCAAATGCGTACACGTATTCTTATCACGTTAACCTATTTTAATAGCGTAATAATAATAAGTCGCAGTGGTTTCCCAAATTAGTGACAGGAGTAATTATATGGTTTAATATAAAATAAACCTCCTTTCTAAGGAGAGGCCTATGTCTAGCAGTGGACTGTTAAAGGCTGTTGATGATGATGATGATGATGATGAAAATATAATAATATTGTACCACGTTCACACAACGCCATCTAGTCCCAAACTAAGCAGAGCTTGTACTATGGGTACTAGACAACTGATATAAATACGTAAATACTTTTTTTTTGACAATACATACATATTATACATAGAAACACCCAGTCCAAAGCAAACTACATGTTCATGCACACAAATGTTTGACTGAACCCGCGACCTTTGGAAAAGCACTCCGTTAACCAAACCACTACACCATATGGTCGTAAAATCATGATTTATCACAGGTGATTTTGATTTTATTTCATCCCTAGTGCAGATATTACGTTTGCAGGTATCACATATCGCATTTATGCTCAAATAACATCACAACGACAATAGAAAAGCAGGATTTCATGGTCACCTTGACCAAGAAATCCAGCGTTCAGTTTCTACGTTCTTAAATAAAAAATGTAATAATTATCACGTGTTTAATGATAAAAGAATTTGTTTTGCAAATTGATATTTTTACATAACATTTACGACACTTACACGTCGTTCGTGCGAGAAGGGCCCGCAAAAATTCAAAGTAGCCAAGTCAAACTCAGAAGTGCCATGTTGGCTTCTATGGGTGGTCTTTGACTAAATAAAAACATTTGACTCCACGGATGGCGTAGTGGTTTATGCGATCACCTCGCTGCTTCCTACTGCGCTTCGCATTCAGTGTTGTGGGTTCGATCTCCACATGGGCAGTACTTAATGTGATTCCGCAAATTGTAGTTCTGAGTCTGGGTGTTCATTGTGTGCGTTTCACGATATATTCTCGTAAGTGCGGAGGTTGCAAAAAAAAAGAAAAAAACATTTCAGTTTAGAGTCAACAGTAGACAATTACGAAACTTAAGGAGCTCCACTTGCAAGTGATTATGTTTAAAAATAGCACTCGCAAGAACCAGTTCCACAGATAAAGTCTCAGGTCAACAGCAGTTTGTTTAGTTACTTGTTCCAAATATACTACACACTGTTTATCAAGGGACTAAAGGACTACCAACAGGTTAATGTTTAGTACGACATCGCGACTAACTGGTAACTGTTTACAACATTTACGAGTCATCTGCTTAAAATAATGAGCAATTTTAAGAACAGAGGATATTTCACTTCAACTTTCTCTCGACGTTTAGCGTTTAGCGTTGCGATTGGTGAAGAGTTCAAAGGCCCAAGAGTTTATTTTATAGGGAATACATTTACACAATAGCAACACCGAACGCTGTCACCATGACGATCGAGTTGATGTGAAGTGAACTATAGCCCGCCAGTTACCTAACTGGTTGCACCAGGGACTTCCTTTCTAGGGTATACCTGGGTCCCCGGCTATTAGTACCCGGCGACGGCGTGCGGTTTTAGTCGGTTCGAGTCCGACATGCCACCGACAGGTGGTATCCGAGGGGATTTCCGCACGGAAAAAAAAAAAAAGTTACCTAACTGGTAAATAGAAACCTAAATACATCTATATACAGACGCGTATTAAAACGCCTACATTTAGCTGACCATAACTTTTGCCCTACTTACTTTAGGCACTCCAGTAATTAGATGGGCAAATATAGGTATTTAAGCTGACCAGGCCATGGTCCTCCTGTAACTTGAACGGGCTGTTTCTGGATTGTCCGAGTCCTTAAAATTAGAACGCATTAAAAACATCTACTAAAATACCTTTCTTTTTCTATCGTTTAATAATTGAGGAAAATAATACTCTATTTAAAGTTATCCTATATACAGAAACCTGACTTCCTACCTTTCACTACTGGCAAGTTTTGCAATTTATACCAGAGGTTTTGCAATTTTAACGAGACGATAAGGTATATAAATACCTACTTAATAGTGTGTAAACGTGCGTGCCAATACTACGTATGTGCCAATACTGCGGCATTACAATATGTAGCTCTTGCTATCGCTTTATAATGATAGTGTGTTGTCACTATATACGGCAAGCAGACGTATCGTGATAATAGGAATATACAACAGCAGTTTGTTTTGTTTTGGTTCAACAAACTGACCTCTAGGAAGAATCGAACGGATTTCAAAAATAATCTTTTAATATTCTTGACTATAGGCTATTTTATATCACGCCAAGATTTCTAGGAACACAGCAGTGACGAGCGGATGAAATTGCGTGGAACTTCAAGTTTTAAATAAAACAAAATTGTACCTTAACATCGATATGTTCAAGAAATCTTGCTATATTTACGGACCTAACGATGTACAGGTGCCGGCAAATATTAATTTTGGTGATTTCATTTTGGATAGAATGTGGCAATATCGGAATAACATAGCTTTGGTAAGTTTATTATTAAACTTTATATTATTCTAATAGGGGAGTAGTCTAGTATATATTATATGAATAACAGGTAAATAGGAATGGGTCAGGTTAGTATAGTGTTATCAGATTTTAAAACTTGTCGACATTTTTAATTCTTGTCGGACTCCTCCTGGCGTAGAAAAATGTTTGAATTTGTGTTAATGGCGAATATTTTTTATAAATGTTTAAACAAATAAAATATTCCACTAATTAAAGACAAAAATAAAAAAAAACTAATATAAATGACCATTGTCAAATAAACAAATAAATACTATGTAAATTATTATTTTCATTTTAACGAATCTGCAGTGATTAAGAAGTAATAGTACAAATAATCATTATGTTTGTATGTATGTATACCTGTTCACGCTTAAACCGCTCAACCGATTCAGTTGAAATTTGGTTTGGAGATAGTTTGATTCTTTATAAAGGACCCTTATGGCATTATCCTTTGCTTATATATTTGATTATTAATTAAATAGTGAAACGTAAGTACAAGGGAGTTTGTTTTCATAACGTATTTCAACAAGTTCAACCAAGTGCCAACAATTGAGAGTGTAAATTATGTAAGTTGTTTTGCCATATACATTATTTCAATATTTAAAATAAAATAGGGGTTTGAAACATAGATGTTGGCCGATTCTCAGACCTACCCGATATGCACACAAATTTCGCTCGAGCCGTTTCGGAGGAGTTCAACTCCTAACACCGTGACACGAGAATTTTATATATTATATGTATATTATATATATATTATATGTATAGGGGTAATTAGAAGACTCATTATTGACGTCGGTATACTTAGTCGTTGTTTATAACAATAAGATATTTTTTTTTTAAATCTACAAATTCAGACTCTAATTCGTTCGACCAGAATGGTAATTTAAATCAACCGTATTTAAAAACTTTAAATGAATTCTCGGGTTTTATCTATATGTTTTGTATTTTTAATATATACCTACCTTATATATAAAATTCTCGTGTCACGGTGTTAGGAGTTGAACTCCTCCGAAACGGCTCGAGCGAAATTTGTGTGCATATCGGGTAGGTCTGAGAATCGGCCAACATCTATGTTTCAAACCCCTATTTTTTTTTAAATATTGAAATAATGTATATGGCAAAACAACTTTTGGCGGGTCAGCTAGTACCTTATATAATTTACACTCTCAATTGTTGGCACTGGTTGTACTTGTTGAAAAACGTTATGAAAACAAACTGCCTTGTACTTACCTTCCACTATTTAATTAATAATCAAATATATAAGCAAAGGATAATGCCATAAGGGTCCTTTATAAAGAATCAAACTATCTCCAAACCAAATTTCAACTGAATCGGTTCAGCGGTTTACCTTTTACCACTAAGGGTCTGATAAGTCATACCTACTATTATCAGGTGAAACTGCTGGAGATGATGGTGTTAAGTGCTTTTCTTCCTAAGATGCTATTGGAAATATAAAAATGATGTTTTATTTGTCCCGTCCGCTAACAATTAGAACTTTACCAAGCCGGGTTCTGCAAAACCTAGTCTCATCAGATGATTGTAGATTCTGTCTAGTGATTTGGGAACAGTGTTCCCAAATCTCTGATCCCCTATCTCATGGTCGGTTGAGTAATTAAGCCATGGGAGCATCACAACCCGACAAATTCACATTCGCGTTTTTAATAAAAAAAAATTTTTAAAATAGTTTTTTAAGAACAACCGATTCTTGTTGGTTTATATTATTATACGCAAAACCAGTTCTGCACTGGTTTGCATAATACAAGAAACTTGCATATCAATATACCTTTATTCTTATTCTGTAGTAGGAGGAGTAGTAGAATTTTTTAGGTTGGTTCTTTTATTTATATTCTCTTTGTGGCCTTAATAAGCAATTATAAGGCAATAAACTTCCCTTCCCTCAAGAAGGAGGGGTAATTAGAAGACTCATTATTGACGTCGGTATACTTAGTCGTTGTTTATAACAATAAGATATTTTTTTTTTAAATCTACAAATTCAGACTCTAATTCGTTCGACCAGAATGGTAATTTAAATCAACCGTATTTAAAAACTTTAAATGAATTCTCGGGTTTTATCTATATGTTTTGTATTTTTATTACTAAGATAGTAGTAGAAATAAATAAATTAAACATGATAACGTTTACTTGTCTGTCAGTAATATAATCATAGATAAGATAACGCTTGTGAACATTTGCAATACCAGTACATTGACTTAACGACAAATATACTGCATGCTGTTTATACATAAAGATCGATTAGCAGTCGAATTTCAACTGTTTTAATCGATCTTTTTTACATGATATTCACAAGCCTTTCTAACCAGTTTAGGACCGAAGTTTGTAACTACTATGCTTCGTTTTCTACACGATGCCTAGTCATAAATTTAGCGTGAAATAGGGCATACTCCGCCACAAATGAGCCGGCTCAACCGGAGATGCCCCGGCCTCACAAAAACTCGGTGTTAAGCAGTTCTTTCGTTCCTCTTTTCCGAGTGAATGAGGTTAACAGAGCCCAAACCGTTATTCTCAAATGATTGCAATAGCTAGAGCAGCTCAGAGTGGTATCGAACCAACTGTTGCCTAGAAGTCGCAGCTATTTAATTATTTTATGTTTTACTCAAATCTCTTTATTTTAGATTAACGGTACTAGAGACGAACGAATAAGTTATGGAGAATTGGTACAGCAAGCGATGAACTTGGCCATCTCGCTCACACGAATGGGTGTTAAAAAGGGAGATGCGATTGGGATTTTTTCAGAGAACAGGCAGGAATACTTTGCTGCAGTTGTAGGAGTGGCATGCGCAGGCGCTGTTATGACACCTTTCAATAGTTCTTATATTAATGGTACGTAGTTGATTTAAAATGCTACTGTTAACCGACTTTATGAAAATTAATCCGTGTGGTGACGGATTAAGAATACGTAGTATCACCATCACTATTCACACCGTGGGTGTCGTAAGAGCCGACCAAGGGAGCAAACTACGCAGGACACTGTTGTTCTGTTGTTGTGATTGCAAAGAGAAGGAAAACATGAAACAAACCATTTACCAACCCGTCCAGTCAGCGTGGTAAAGTAGGCCAAAACCTCCTTTCTAAGGAGAGGCCTAAATGTAGCAGTAGACTATTAAAGACTATTGATAATGATAAACTGACTTTTAAAAAAAAGGTCCAGCTTTACCTGGATAGTTGGCGCTCCACTACTGTGCGCTTTTCGAGAGACTTTTTGCCCCGCACAACCAATCTGTGGAACGGGTTATCGTCTGCGGTATTACCGGACTGATACGACCTTCAAACCTTCAAGAAAAGAGCGTACTCCTTCCTAAAAAGCCGGCAACGCGTTTGTGACTCCTGAGTTGCAAACGTTCATGGGCGGGGATAGTCACTTAACATCAGGTGACCCGTCTCGCTCGTCTGCCCTCTCTAACATAAAAAAAAGCTCTTGCCAACTATCTTGCTCAAATCGTTACCCCACCTGGACTGTGGGTGTCCTACACTACGTTTGCATAGAGCGACGCGGTCTCCACTTAATAACTCGTTTACCAGAACGTTTGTCGGTTCTATTCTATGGCCAGCCCACTGATCCGTTAGCTTGCTAATCCGATGGCCTATGTCGATGACCTTGGTTCTCTGCCGAATCACCTCATTCCTGATTCGATCCCTTAGAGAAACGACGAGCACAGCCCTTTCTTTAATCAAACTACAAAAAATAATTTAACATGGCTGCTGCATGGCTCTATTAGGTAATGTAAACAAAGGGTGTAGCAGTTATCTTTTTTTTTATAAGTAATATGTTAGTCAATTTTGATTAACTAAATCTATAATATTTTTATCCCTACTTTTCAATGTTTTATAGTTTATATAGACTTCGTTCGCGTGGAATTTGAAAAGCGTTGCCTTAATGGGTTCGATTCCTGGACCGGGTAAAATTTGCTAGGGGTTTTCTGAACCCCTAGCAAACAGATAGACGGACAGAAAAAATATATTTAAACTGGTATTTAAGCATAGGTATCGTGCCAATAACCGTTTGAGTATGAAAAAAAACTTTATTTAACTAAATTTTATTTATTTGTATAGAAATTTTCAGACGAATTAATTCACGTCATGAATATTTCAAAACCATGTTACGTCATATGTTCACCAACTGTTTACAAAACACACGGCAGTACGTTAAGAGCCCTGCCATTTCTGAAACAAATCATTCTCTTTGGTGAAGAGACACATTCTGAGGTAATAATGTACAATGATTTGACTCTGGAAAGGAATAGAAAGATTAAAAATGTTAAATACGAAGAGTTTCAGTCTGTGGAAGTTCAAGGACAAGTTGATACGTTGTTTATTGTCTATTCTTCTGGGACTACGGGCCTGCCGAAAGGAGTTATGTTGACACACTTGAATTTGATAACTGCAAGCTCTCTGTAAGTTTAGTATATTAAATAATAGTAAGTAATTAGGTCCGTGTAGTGACGGATTAAGAATACGGAATGTCACTACCCCAATTCATCCCTTGGGTGTCGTAAGAGCCGACTAAGGGCGCAAAACAACGCAGGACACCAGCACTGCAAAAAGAAGGAAAACATGACACAAACCCTATACCGTCTGGCCAGCGTGGTGTAGTAGGCCAAAACTTCCTTTCTAAGGAGAGGCCTACGTTCAGCAGTGGACTATTAAAGGCTGTGTGATGAAGTAATTATTTTAGTTATTTTTTTACGGGACTAATCCCTCCCACACGCCCACCACTGTAACTCCTGTACACCAGGATCAACAGCCGCGACCCACGAACACACCGAGTTATGACACTCGGGAAGTCCCAAGAAAAAAATTAACTGTCTTTGAACCCGCAACGAAATGAATCAGAAGAAAATTGGAGGAGTTGGAAATACAGTAAATCCACTCCCTCCTTCCATATTACGTTAATTAATTAATTAGTTAAGTTCTTGAAACCCAAACCACCCCTTCTCTCCCCCATTCTGGGGAGAGGACTCTAACGGCGGTACCGCACTTTTGAGTTGAAAGGGTACATGGGTGGTAATCACTTTCCTTCAGGTGACCAGTCTGCTCGTTTGCCTATACCATAAAAAATATATATCTTTATAATTTAATATTTTCACACATCTCACACACGGCCAGACTGCTGATAAACATACTTATGTATTTCTAAATACATACATATTATTGATAAAATACACTCAGGCACAGAACAAATGACCGTGCTCATCACACAATTATTTATTTATTTATTGTATACAGTTAACACATAAGTTACTTTACTTACAAATATATAGACGTAACAATCGGCGGTCTTATCGCTCACGGCGATTTCTTACAGACAACCTTAATACGGATATTATATATTTAAAAATTTGGGTACTTTACATACACGTAACGCATTATAACGTGAATAAACTGAAATATGAACAAAAGCATTCATACACAAATATACATCTGTTTTATTTGTTTGTTTGTTATTTGTCCTGGGTGGGAATCAAACCCACAATCTCTGGCGTAGCAGTCAGGGTCAATAACCACTAGACCAACAGGCGAGTCAATATATAGATGGCGCCATTTGTTTGTGATTTTAGATTCTGGTAACTTGAATTTGCGAGATTAGTACGTTCAACCAAACAAACAAACCTTTCAGCTTTAGAATATTAACATGGATTATTTTTAGTGGATATCAAAATTTATTGACTAACACCATGTAAATTTCCACAGAAGACCATCCCTAGACCCCAAGGAAAGCAACTTGACCATAAGCCCATGGTACCACGTCATGGGATTAATGGGAACCCTGTGTGGCTTGGCTCTGGGCAAAACATCGGTCTATATCGCAAAATTTGAGATGGACTTGTATTTCAAGATTATAGAAAAATATAAGGTAAGAATTGTAACTTGCAACTTCTACAGGACCGTCTTTGGTAACCAGACTACTGTAAATATACTTATATGTTTCTAAAAACATACATCACATCATTACATCAACAGCCCTTAATAGTCCACTGCTGGACATAGGCCTCTCCTTAGAAAGGAGGTTTTGGCCTACTTTACTACACTGGCCAGACTGGTTAGTATAGGGTTTGTGTTAAGTTTTCCTTCTCTTTGCAGTTCTTTTGTCCTGCAGAGTTTGCTCCCTTAGTCGGCTCTTACGACACCCACGGGATAAATTAGGGTGGTGACACTCCGTACTCTTAATCCGTCACCGTCCGACAAAACATACATATTATAGACAAATTAAATTTAGACACATTACGATCATCACAGTATTATATATCCTGAGTGGGTATCGAACCCACAGAACAGGGATTCCCTTTTCTCTGATCGAACCCACGTCTTCTGGCATAGCAGTCAGCACGAATAAGCATCAGAACAACAGGCCTGCATTAACTTATTATTGTTTTTACCTCTAAAGTCAATATCAAAAATGCCTTCAAAAATTTATCATTACAAGTCTATACCTATGTTCAGCAGTGGACGTTTTTCGTCTGAGATGATGATGAGTCTAGGTCATTCAGAGGTCGATCATTATCACTTTCCTACCCTCTTACCAATTTAATTTAGGGTAGAAAATGGAAACCTTTCTTCCACCATGATAATAAAGCCCTACTGATCCTCCTCCGGCAGGAATACAACATCAGAACGGTATTAGGATGAAAGTTGAGTGACTCTTTATCGAGTTGAGTATGCATTTTTTAACATATCGCTTAGTTTAAATATATTCTATCATGAAAATAAGTAATAATTTTATTGTATACCTATGAATAATATTTCAATATAAGCAGGATCGCTCACAAGCTTCCATATCTGTATAGATATTTTTATCAGATACCCCCTAACATTAATTGCCGTATTATAGGATTAAGCATCGCCTTCATGTATGCTACGATAAATATAATATGGTATACCTTTACGTCTCTATCAAAATATGTATCTGTATAATTGATTAGCCACATGATATCTTTGTCCTATCAAAGGCCGGACGTATGTGAGTGCACCCTTTCCAAGCTACTCCTATCCAAGACTTAAGGTGTATCTTACCCTAGCTCTTACGCACCATACGTTTTAATTACCCCAATTTACCTGTTTCCTTTGGCCCGTCCAAAAATGATCATATTCCTAAGGAGGTTTAGTTAGAGTAAACGAGCAGACGAGTCACCTGATGTCAAGTGACTACATCCTGCCATGATCATCTGCATACTGCAACTCGAGGAATACTGGTGCATTTCCGCCCTTTGAGTAGTGAACGGATTTTCATTTGGTGAGAGTGATTCATGAATAAGGTTAGGATGATTAATTAATGTTCTGTATAAATATACCAAGTTTTTGTTTGTGAGCTTTACTGGTGTGCGCTTAACCAATAAAGTTCTACGACAAGAATGTATTATAGAAATATTCATCTTAAAAAAGCTATTAACTGTGACAAGAAGAAAAAATGAGTCACGAATGGTCCGTTACCTGTAATTATAATATTCGCGGTTTTTGGAAATAGCAGTAGCATCTAAAAAATTTCTTTTCAGATTTCTCAACTAACGGTGGTACCCCCGGTTTTAGTGGCGGCGTGTAAGTATCAGACCAAGTATGATTTGAGCTCTGTTAAAGTAATTTACTCAGGAGCGGCTCCATTGCATAAGGAAACTATTATTTCTATTCACGAAAAGTAAGTGCCATTCAAAACTATTTATTCTTTTAATATCTGTTTTCGTGTGGTGACGTGTTAAGAATACAAAGTGTCACCACCCGTATTCATCCCGTGGGTGTCGTAAGAACCGACTATGGGAGCAAACTACGCAGGACAACAGCACTGCAAAGAGAAGGAAAACTTGAAACAAACCCTATCCAACCCGTCTGGACAGCGTGGTAAAGTAGGCCAAAACCTCCTTTATAAGGAGAGGCCTATGTCCAGCAGTGGACTGTTATAGGCTGTTGATGATGATGATTGATGATGTTGGATAGTTAATTCGCGAGAGCTTGATCATCAGCATCCACTGCTGAACGAAGGCCTCCTCCAAAGACCGACAACAATCCCGTGCTCCTGCAGTCCACAGCCTTGAGTGAATGAGAGTTTAAAAACAAGAAACTTATTCGCATTTATAATATTAGGTATATTCAGTTTTTATAATTAAAAATATGGTCGGACTGTTTAAGTCCGACCAAATTTTGCCGACAGTGTTTAACAAGGCGTCTTAACTTTTCACAGGTGAGTAGATTAAACTATTTTGATTTACTTGACAGGCAATTGTCTTATTGTTACATATAATTTTTATGTCGTTTAGCTAAAAATAACTTGTGGTTTTGGTTTGCCCTTTAATAGAATCATTTTTATCTTTCTCAGGTTCCCAAATTGCCGCAATGTGTGTCAAGGATATGGTGCCACGGAAGTAACTCTTGCTTTAATGAGGTTCAGCTACCTCGAATACAATCCACAAAAAATTGGCAGTATTGGTACTGTTATTTCGAATACTATTATAAAGGTTAGTTTTAATGTCTGTGCATTCAATAAATTACCTAAATTCAAGTGCGCCTTCTCAACATGACTATCAACGGAGTTTTGAAAGTCAGAAAGAAAATGTGGTTATTTTGTATTCCTGTTACTTACGAAAGTAAAAATACTTTAATATGTATATAAATTAGACAAACTAAAAATAAATACCTGGTGGCTGTTGTCAATAGTAAAAAGCACCCCACGCTTTTTTTCAAATTTATTTTCTATTTTTTAGTTTGGTTTTTTATAGAAAGCGTGTTTTTTAGTTTTTTTAAATTATAATTTTTAAATCTGGTTTTCGTTTGCAGGTTGTAGACATTGAAAGTCGTAAGCCTTTAGGTCCAAATACACCTGGAGAGATTTGCGCGAAGGGTAGTATGTTGATGAAGGGATACGTTGGTCGCGATCGTGGTGATGACTTCGATGATGAAGGGTTTTACAAAACCGGTGATATTGGTTATTATGATGAAGAAGGCTACTTTTACATTCTGGATCGGATTAAGGAGCTGATTAAGTACAAAGGATACCAGGTGGGGGCAATTTAATTTATCTTAATAATCGTTTTTGCTCCCGTTTTAGCTCAAGGTCAGGTAATAATGTTTTTGGACATCTGACACCCAACGCCATACAGTTTTAAACTAAGCAAAATTTGTACTATGAAAGAAAGATTGGCTGATAGATACCTATGTACGTTTTTTTATAAATACATACATATTATACATAGAAAACATCCAAACTTTGAAACAAATATTTGCAGATCATACAAACATTTGGTCCGATCCGGGAACCGAACACGATATCGATATATGACTATGGCAAAAATATTACTTGAAAATACTTTTATTTTTGCTTTAAGTATTGTAAAATATATTGAGGTCATAAAAACCCGAAAATCACTCCCCAGTATTTCCTAGGTTACCAATTTCTAGTCTGACTACTATTCACATTATTCCTACTGGCATGTACAGTACGGTATATAAGGTTCAGGTCACATGGTAAGGAGTTTACCGTTCACTCTCTCAAAAACAAGCATATCTCTTGAGAGCGAAAACAAATTAGACACCATAGTCTTGAATTGAACAGCTACCCCTTTTTGTGATTCGTATGGAAATCAACACGGGCCGTCGCCTAACTGGGGTATGCGGTGGGGCCGTCTGTCGAAACGCGGTGTGCCGTACTGGCGTCTTTCGGGAGAGTCTGTTCTTGGCGGAGAGATTCGGGTATAACTTTTATAAAGAGATTTGGACCCCTCCTAGCGTCTGTCTGCAAAAGCGCAGAAACCACGAATTGATAAACGATCAGGGCGAAATTGCAGTCAAACAGCACTATGTTTTATGATATTCAATTAATCTTTTGAGATATTTATAAACAAATATATGTAGGTGTTTAAACTGTCGTATAAAACTTTCACTCAATAAGATGACAAAATTAGTATAAAGGTTGTTGCCGTAAATTATTGTTTTTTTTATGGTATAGGGGGGCAAACGAGCAGACGGGTCACCTGATGGTAAGTGACTACCGCCGCCTATGGACACCTGCAACACAAGACTTACAAGCACGTTACCCTTTCAGACCCTCCCCCCAGAATTAGGGGAGGGGGGAGGGTTTGGTAATCCGGTTATCTCACTCATTCGGTTAAATCAATGGAAGAACGTGTGGTGACGGATTCGGAATACGGAGTGTCACCTCCCCTACTCAACCCGTGCGTGTCGTAACAGCCGACTAAGCGAGCAAACTACGCATTACAACAGCATTGCAAAGAGAAGGAAAATTTGAAAACAAACCTTTTAATAACCCGCCTGACCAGCGTGGTATAGTAGGACGAAACCTCCTTTCTTAGTAGAGGCCTATGTCCAGCAGTGGTCTATTAAAGGCTGTTGATGATGATGAATGGAAGAACTGCTTACACCGGTTTTCTTTGAAGACGTGGTATCACTCCCATTCATACTGAATCGCGACTCCCCCACGGTTGCATAAAATGTAGATGTTTAAACTATTGATTTTACAATCGATTATATTTTTTTCCCTTACTCAATAAGATGACAAATACGTATGAAGGCTGTCACCATAAACGATTGATTTTGTAACAACAGACATTCTGAATATGTTCGTTGCCGACCCTGGAAAATCCTTTCCATGCAATCTGCAGTGACTAATCTCATGTTGTCAGTTGGGAATACCAAATTTTAAGCGTCCCATTGTGCGTCCAACTGTCCGTGAGGTGACGGATTAAGAATACGGAAGTTCACCACGCCTATTCATGCCGTGGGTGTCGTAAGAGCCGACTAAGCGAGCAAACTACGCAGGACAACAGCACTGCAAAGAGAAGTAAAACTTGATACAAACCCTATATCTGGGTTGGTGTTGGTGGACCAGCGTGGTATAGTAGGCCAAAAACACTAAGAAAGATTGTGGAGTTTTAATAATTTGTTCTTGGGCTTTCCAAGCAACGGCTGACCCAATTGAAATGAAGGTCAATACTTCGAAATAGCTAGACTACGAGTATACCATACTGTTTAAAATTGTGTATGTCTATTTTCTCTCGTCTCCCGCTTTGCTAAGGAGGATTGGATTTAATTTATTTCCAACTCCTACAATTTTCTTCTGAGTAGAAATTACTCAGAAGAAAATTCCAAGTAGTAGTAGTTCCAAGGTAGGGGAAGGGTTCCAAGATATTTTAATTTTTCCTGGGACTTCACGAGTGTCATAACTCGGTGTGTTCATGGGTCATTACTGTTGACCTGGTATACAGGTGTTACAGTAGTGGGCGTGTGGGAAGGATTAGTCACGTTAAGTGATATAAATAAAACAGGGTCTATAGCACAGGGTGTCCTAGTTTTGGGCGCCCGACTGCCACAACTATTTGTACTTCAGACGCCATTATGTTAATATTTGAGTACTTAGATTTAAAAATTAAGCAAAAATATTCTTGTATTTTTGTGTGATTTTGAAATAACCGTTACCATAATTATTAAATAAATAGTAAGTTATATTTTTTTTTCAGTATTCTAAACCCACTGCTTTTAATACAATAACATTTTTAAGTAACCGCAAGGGACGTCATTATTTTTGTATCGTATCGTCTATGTAGAAAAACAGTAACACTGTTTTAATATACATCTATACTTAATATTATAAAGCTGAAGAGTTTGTTTGTTTGTTTGTTTGAATTTTTCAAATCGGACCAGTAGTTCCTGAGATTAGCGCAATCTCAGGAACTACTGGTCCGATTTGAAAAATTCTTTCAGTGTTAGATAGCCCATTTATTGAGGAAGGCTATAGGCTATATCTCATCACGCTAAGACTAATAGGAGCGGAGCACCAATGAAGAATGTTTCAAAAACGGAGAAAATTTATTACTATTGAGAGACGCAGACGAAGTTGCGCGGGTCAGCTAGTTATTAATAAATCAATTGATTCCTTCCCTGCAATTGTTGACCAAATTAAACTGCGTAGATAAAGAATGTCGTTGAAAGTTTGCCAATATGGCTAGGTCATAGATGATATCAGATACTTTCTGATATGGCGTGCAAACATTACTGCTAAATGTAGGCGAAGGCCGATTAATATATCTGTTATAAATCTGAGAGAGTTTAGATAACTTTCAATGGCTAGGTCAGCGGTTAAGAAATAACTTATATCATAAAAGTACACATAGTTACAATTTCGACTGCACGGATGGCGTAGTGGTTTAAGCGGTCACCTCGTCGCTTATTACTGCGCTGACTATTGTGGGTTTGATCACCATTTGGAGAGTCACTTTGTGTGATCCACAAATTGGTGTTCTGAGTCTGGGTGTTGTTCGTTGTCCCATGTGGGGATTGAACCCACAAACTCAGTAGAAACCGGCAAGGTGACCGCTTAAACCATCTGTACTAATAAACTATAGATGTTAAGTTGCTTGTATATACATGACCATTGTCAGAAATTGTGATGAAGATGAACTCGAGGTCTCATACTCGTAGTACTAGTAGGTATTATTATTAACTCTTACAGTCAAGGTAAATGTGCCAATGATTTTAGGTACCACCAGCTGAGCTCGAAGCCGTTCTACTGCAACATCCTAGCATCAATGATGCAGCAGTGATAGGCCTCGACGACAAGTTAGCTGGGGAGCTTCCGCTGGCGTTCGTTGTTATTCGCCCTGGGCAGCAGCTGACGGAGAAGGAAGTTCAAGATTTTATTGCTGAAAGGGTGAGAGACAAAATCCTTTGTAAAGTAAAAGTACATTTATACTTATTACGACTGTATTGCCGAAAGAGGTAGGCAGAAGTGTCTTACACATATATTTGACATATTATGGGGTAAGCCTATTTACTATTATTAATTTATAAATAAGAAAGGGATATTGCTTAAACCGATATATTTATGTTACAGTTTCGCATATCTGTATGTAACTCTAACTGTAGAATTTTTAGTTCAAAGTACAACTTTGTGACTACTTCCATAGGACGTGAAACAGACACATACTTCAGCGCCATCTAACGAAGACACACCAATCTACGGACTAATTGTTAATTCTGTATCACAATATGAAAAAGTTCCGACTGAACCAGTCGTCATGAAAATGTATTTAGGGAGCTTTCATTCTCCTTGTTCCAAATTACAGCTTTCTAGGATTACCAGACTTTAATAGTCTGTTAATCCTAGAAAGTTAAAGCTAGTCTGCGGACGGTCGGACGGACAGGCAAACGGACATGATGGAACTATAGGGATTCTTTTTGGGTCCTACTCTGGGATCCTAGAGTATTCTAAAGTTAGAAAATATGCATGTGTAAATGTTTGGTTGTCTTCTTTGGATTTGTATCAGAGTTTAAGATTTATGAGTCGTGTTTTAGTATGATTCTTTTAATAATGTGTATTTTACACTGTATTTTATTTCGCAGTTATCGAACCCCAAGCGGTTACGTGGTGGCGTACGTTTCGTGAGTAAAATACCGAAGTCGGCGAGTGGGAAGATATTAAGAAAAGAACTGCGCATAATGGTGAACACTGTCAAGAGTCATTTGTAGTTATTTGTTAACAAAATAATAAAAAAATATCACCATCATCATCACCATATTCATCACCTGACACCAATTGGATTCGACGCGATTGGTGACACCCCGAACACTGTGAATAGTTTCTTTTATGACCGATTGGTTGCCTAATGCCAAGCTTTATTTCAAATGGAACCGATTTCAGGCGAAACGGACAAAGGATACAATAAATGGGGTATGACAATAACTCCACACACCTCTCACAGGGCTGTTTGATGCCAAACTATGCAGAACCTGTAAAATGGTAACCAGACTGCTGATAAACATACTTAAATGATACTGATGATACTTACTTTGACGACTGGATGGCGTAGTGGTTTGTGTAACGGACTGCTATTCCGAAGGTCGCGGGTTCGATTCCCGCTCAAGTCAAACATTTGTGTGCATGAACATTTGATATTTGATTTGGTCTGGGTGTTTCTATGTATAATATGTATGTATTTACAAAAAAAAAAGTATATATGTATTTATATCAGTTGTCTAGTACCCATAGTACAAGCTCTGCTTACATACACACAACGCCATCTAGTCCCACTAGATGGCGTTGTGTGTATGTGGTAGAATATTATTATTATTATTTAAATATTTCTAAAAACATACATAATCTTTACATAGCAGTAATAAAAAGAAGTCGCCTTTTTTGTACACTTAGATCTTTTAAACAACGCAATGAATTTTAATGCAGTTTTTACTAATAGTGTGTGGAGTTGATTCAAGAGGCTAGTTTATATGCATATTATAGTTGAGGGAATCCGAGAATTACAAAGATTTGCAATGTAAAGTTTTTTTTTAGTTTTAAGTTGTAAAAACATGGTTTTGTGCGATTTCATTGCAAACGCTGGCCAAACTTTACGAGATAAATCAAAACACTGTACTGCGGAATTGTATATCTTGAAAAAATCTACAAAAAAGTCGCAAAAGTCGGAGCGCCCGGCAGAAGGGGAGACTGCCTATTTATATTGCATATGTATAAAGATGTTCTATAGTATAGTCTTATCAGAATAATAGTATCTATATTGCACCCGTGCGAAACCGAGGCGGATCGCTAGTTATAGATAAATTACACCCAGACATAGAACAAAATGATCGTGTTTATTACACAATTACTTGACCTTGGTGTGAATTGAATCCACGACCTCTGGCTCAGCAGTCAGGGTAAATAAAGCACTAGGCAAGGGAGCGTAAGGGATACCTCAAATTTCTAATGAAAAAGGGGAGTGAAATGGGTAAAACTATACATAAAGGTTATGTTCCGGACATAAACGTGTGTCCTGTAATTATAGGAGGCACTAAGACACGGACATCAACTGAACATAAAAATTTATATACCTAATAATATTAAGAAATGTGTTAAATAAAAAATATGTAATGAAATAAAACTATAGTACTCGTATCAAATCAAATCTTTATTTGCCAACCAAGTGTACATTAATGGTCTTACATAATAAAAATTATGTAAGAAATATTTCTTTTTGTCTTTTTTATAGATTTTAAAAAATAGGACGTTACCAATTGGACTGAGTACCTATTTTTGTGTATATGTTACGTGATGTCTCTTTCTAGACACACTTTATACACACACCTACTGTCATGTACATGTCGCCTGCATAATTTAATTTATCTCTTTGTTCATACATACTTGAAAAGTTTTAAAGACCAAATGAAGGTTTCAGGAGACCGGATGAAGACTTTCATAAAATCTACAGCACCATCAACTGCATTTCGGTTGTTCTAAGTCTTAAAAAAAAACCAACGGAATAACTGATAATCCTGTATCGCGACATAAAAGTTTTTACAGGGATTACCATATATACAACTTCCAAACATCAACTATTGGAGCGCGGTCCATCAGGCAGGAACACTCGCCTGGCTTGAGGATCCTCTCTTTAAGTTGGAGGGACATGACACTTGTTCCTCTACAATATGTAACTGCCAGAGTGTGGTGGATTCCGGATTCCTTCCCGTGAGTGTTGTCAAAGCCGACTAAGGGACCAAAGTACTCAGGACAACAGCAGTGCAAAGAGAAGGAAAACTTGAGACAAACCCCCTATGCTAACCCGTCAGGCCAGCGTGGTATAGTAGGCCAAAACCTCATTCCAAGGAGAGGCCTATGCCCAACAGTGGACTATTAAAGGCTGTTGCTGATGAGGAAAGACACACACAGACCCAGACACAGTAGTCTTAAGACGGAACTCAATTTAAAACCATTTAAACCGTCAGGATGTAAGTCTAATGCAAAATGGGGAGAGAAAAACATGTTTTATTAAATCCGCAAATACTGATCATATTTAACCCCAATCAACTTCCAACTCTCTCTATAAACAACAATTACATAACTATTATAACATAAAAACTTCTCAAAATAAGTGGCACTCACAACACTCATTTAACGAGAGTAGTCTGCATAAAAATGTTTATGTAACTAAATCCGCTAACAAGATAACTGTACCACTTTAAGAGTACACAATAAACACCAAAACTGTTTAACTATCAATGTTACAACAACATAATAAGCTGTTACTTACGTAAACATTTCACTGATCATGTCTTTTGGCTATATTCGTCATTCGCCTCCCTCGGCTCGGCGCCGCGGCGGTCGCACACCAAAAAGCTTTCAATTTTACCGATAAGTGAACACGGCGGACATTTTTAAAATATTCATAAATCATTATATTTAAAAAAAGTGTCAGTCAGTTCAAAAAGACCTTAATATTTTATCTTAATTAAAAAGTTAAGTTCAAATTGAGAGTTAGTTTGAAAATCGAATCCAAAAGATTTGAAAAAAAAATGTTTTAAATGTTTTAGTTAAGTCATATCAAAAATATTGTACGTTTAACAAAGAAAAAGTTCAAATATGTCGTCGGTTAAAGTGATAATTCTATTGCATTTATTATCTAAAGTCATCTGTGATAATATTGATAATTTAGACATAGATGTATATAATGAAAACGTATTTGACTCCAAAAATTTGCTTAACGACAACGTCAATTATGTGTTGCCAAAACTTTTGAGAGAAAGCAAATTTAATTCCGAAATTATTAAAAACCCGGGCCGTAATGATGACACTGTAAATTATTACGAAGACATAACTATATTGGACGATGATGGACAGTTAAAGAATTTAAAATACAAGTCTGCGGATATCGCAAAGTCTCAATTGCAGAAATTTGTCAATAGTGACATTCGTTTGACTAAAGTGAGTGACAAAGTGAACCAAATTGAAGTGCCAGTGACGAATTCTGACAAAGTTGAACTAAAAGTTCAAAGTCAGAAGCCGAAATTTTTTGACGAATTGGATACCTGTAAGTATTGTTGGTATATTTTATTCGGAAATCGAAATATTTGGTATACTATTATTGTTAAATTCGAATAGAAACATCGCCACGATCATCATATGACCTTATCCCAAATTTTTTATTGGTGGACGCAAAGTATAACATTGAAAAGGGTTTGTCTTGTTTCTTTAATGGTTGGCCGCTTGCTTCATGCTAACTCTCTACAGGAATGCTACCGTTTTCTGACGGGACATAAAAACGTACGAAAGTAAGGGTTGGGTTCAAGGGAGGTAGGGTAAGAGATACCATAAGTCTCTAGACTTAGACTATAGTGACTTGAAGGGTCGGGGTTATGTGACCATATGTCTATCTAGAGAGACTACTACGACATCAATTGGTGTAAATATCTGGCTAACGACGAAATAGAAACAATACAAGCAATACGTCTGTGCCTTTCAAAGATAACTGTTATTGTTGATAAAAGCCGAACCGATCTAGCGGAAAAGGAATTAATGAATTTTTTAAATAGAAATAATGTCAGTGGTGGAATCGAAATTTTACGCATAAACTTTAAGGATAAAACCATACCCACAGACAGTTGCTATGTGTGGTTACAAGTGACTTCATTACCACCATAATACCATCATACCATCATAAAAAAATACAAAATAATTAACTTTAAAAAAGTATGGTGTACTTCAGTGCGCCTATTACTTAATTTTACCAAACGGGCAATATAACCTCCCAATTACAAAAAATAGTTCATAAATGGCGAAGTTGTGTACTAATAAACATAAAAAAATACCAGTGAATTAAGAACCTTCTCCTTTCTTTTGGGTCGGTTTACAAAATTCTCTAAAACATTGACATGCACAAAGTTTAGATCATGTAGACTGGAGGAGTAGTCTTGTTTTACTACTGGCTGATAAGGCTTAACTTGAGCACTCATTGTTTTTTTTTAACTAGAAAAAATACCATTGGTAACTGTACAGAGAGAGCCAAGTTGATGAATGACCTAGACTACGAGTGGAACAAATAACTCTTCCTGCTGTAGAATCTATAAATATAGATAAGCTGTTGTGTGATGAGCACGTTTTTTTTAAAGACAAGAGTTGTGTATGGAATTTTGACATTTTCAAAGTTAGAAACACGAAATAAAAAATAGGCCTCGGGCAATAGCTAGTATAAAATATATTCTATCTCATCATCACATCACAGAACAGCTTCTAATAGTCAAATGGTGGACATAGATCTCTCCTTAGAAAGGAGGTTTTGGCCTACTATATCACGCTGGCCAGAGAAGAAAAAATTGAAACAAAGCCACCTGGCTTTGTTTCAATTTTTTCTTCTCTTTTCAGTATTGTTGTTCTGCGTAGTTTGCTCCCTTAGTCAACTCTTACGAAATGAATGATGGGGATGAATAGGGGCTGTGACACTCCATATTCACGAAAAAAGTCACGAAAAAATAACTTATTAAGGATTAATGAAAAAAAAATCCTTTGAATATTTTAATAAGGTTTAGAGGACTCGGACCTACGGCAACAGTCTGTTCAAGTTACAGGTCCACAACTTTGACTTACTCAAACTATTGCTTATATACGCCTATACATCCTTATCAGTATTGCTTAAATACGAATACTTGAGTGAAGACCGCGTATCGCCAAACGTAGTGCACCAGGCCTAGGTGGAATGACGATTTGCGCAAGATGGCTGGCACAATCTTGATGCGAGAAGCCGAAAATCGATCGAAGTGACGGGCAATAGAAGAGGACTATGTGCAGCAGTGGACTGCGATAGGCTGATGATGCTGATGATCCTTATAAGCAATACCCCATTCCTGACATTACCTTCCCTTGTTCCTAGGTTGGGGTCGGCTTTAATTCTACTACGGCTGAATTTCGCTTTTTTACGTGTAACTGTTGTACGTAAGTTAGACTAAAATTTTAGTTTGCAAAATGAGGGCGTTTACTACGCCCCTGTCCCTTTGGTAAAAGTGTATACATGCATATTGCATATATACATTTGGTTAAAATTAATAAATCAATTCAAACGGCTGCACGGATGGCGTAGTGGTTTAAGCGGTCGCCACGCCGCTTCCTACTACGCTAAGTGTTGTGGGTTCGACAACCGGGTACCGGTAACCGGTAAGTGGGACGACACTTTGTGTGATCCACAAATTGTCGTCCGGAGTCTGAGTGTTCTTTGTGTTCGTTTCAGGTATGTTTCTTAAGTCCCCTGTGACACAGGATTTATTCCTAGTGCGGGAGTTGTCTTTTCAGTTACGTAGTTCGGATTTGATTCGTTTACCTTTATTAGTTGCTGTAGTGACCCCCACTACTCTCGGTCACTGCAGCGCTCCTGCTGTTCATTAAAAATCAACCCATTACGAATACCTTATATATAGATATAGCGTATGGATTCTTTTGTAATTAAAAATTAGTTCTGCTTACCTATGCAGATGGATATATTCATGATGATGATTAATTTAAGGCGAAGGGCGCGTCCCAGACCTTGCACAGGTACTTCTAATATCACGTAACATGTATTAAAACATAATTTGATAATTTGGATATGGAACGTGTTATTTTGCAATGTTACACAACGTTGGTGAAAGCAGCATCCGGTTCAAACGTTGTGACGTAAAGGCCAGCGCATAATGGCCGCGGTTCTCAGCAAAATGCGACTCCTTCGAAAAAGCTTAAATGTTAATTTAAGCTTCTAGCTTTTAATAGCATGCATGCATGCATTGTACGCATCTTTCGAACTACGGAACGGATTTTTATGTGGTTTTTACCAATATAAAGAGTGATTCAAGAGGCGGGTTTACATGTATAATACATTGGATTATAGTACAGTAAATCCTAGAATTTCAAAGATTTAGAATGTGTTTAACATGTTTTTGTGCTCTTAAATTGCAAACGCTAGCTGAACCTCACGAGATAGATAAAAAAAATGTACTACGGAAATGTGTAACTTAAAAATATGTACAAAAAGCTCGTGATGGTATATCTCTATTACTTAAGGATAACCCGCAGTAAGCATTTTTATCTTTTACATAATTATTACAAAAATAATGGGTAATTTACGAAGCTATTTTGTATAATACAGTATTTTTCCTTATCAAAATAAATACGTTTGATACATTATGTATTTAATGTAGGTCAAAAGTGCATTTAACAGCAAATCATTAAAATGAATATATGTATTAGTAGATATCAGAGATTTCAAATGGAGGACAAAGCGGTCGTGCCGCCTGTCGGGCCGTACGTCCGTCCCGGGTGGCATACAAAGATGTCCTGTAGTATATTCTTATCATAATAATACATTGCGAAGCCGGAACGGATCGCTAGTAAACTATATAACAAGAAACCGTTATCAAGCAATTATGTCGCTGCTTTTCACTGCTACCGGAGCATAAACCACCCCTCCCCTAATTCTGGGGGACGGGGGTGACTCAAGGGGACAACGGACTTGTGACTTTTGAGTTGCAGATGACCATGGGTGGCTGGTAGTACTTAGTTTTTGAAAATAAATGTCCTTTTCTATTCCTCTGGCAACATATCTGAAAAATTATGAACAGTTTAATAGTTAACTTGTGTAACAAACAAAACAAACTCACTTTCTCGTTTTGAATATCAATCAGCAAGGATATACATTCTACTTTATGAGTCAGAAAAAGTGGCCATAACTTTTTTAATTGTTTTTACACGACAACAAACGCGTGAAATTTAGCATTGTATTTCTTTTTTTTTAAATTTACTAATTACTTTTTTATTCTTTAATTTATTTATTTACCTTCAACAAGGAGTCTAAAACATAGAATACAAAATACTCGACAGCCTGTCTAGCTGTTAGTGGTCCTGTCTGCTAAGCCAGAGGTCGTGAATTCCATTCCCACACAGGACATAGTTGTGTGATGCGGACGTTGTTATTTATTCTGTGTCTGTGTAAAATTTACCTATAATATGAATGTATTTCAAAATATTTTAGCCTGCATGGATGGCGTAGTGGTTTAAGCGGTCGCCACGCCGCTTTCTATTCAAACCCCACATGGGATAACACTTTGTGTGATCCACAAATTGTTGTTCTGAGTCTGGGTGTACTTTGTGTCCGTTTCATGTATGTTTGTAATGTCTCCCGCGACACAGGATTTATTCCTAGTGCGGGAGTTGTCTTTATAATGTAAATGTAAAGGTAACGCCCAGAGTAATCTTGTCCGTGCGGTGACGGATCAAGAATACGGAGTGTCACCACCCCTATTCATCCCGTGGGTGTCGTAAGAGCCGACTTAAGGAGCATACTCTACAGGACAACATCACTGCAAAGAGAAGGAAAATTTGAAACAAACCCTATACTTATTCCTCTGGCCAGCGTGGTATATTAGGACAAAACATCCTTGATACGGAGAGGCCTATGTACTATTAAAAGAATACTTATATAGGTAAGTATATATATTTATTATGCTGTGCGTAAGAACTATATGTGAAACGCACTCGCACACACGTTTCATTAGTAATATGTAGTAATTTCTTAAGTTTTCATGGTTCACAATATACGTTCAATTTGGAAGTGATACTTTATTTTGTGATCGTCTATATCACAGTAAGGCGCCCTATCGCGTTGCTTTTCGTAATTTAATGTTAATTGTGTATAAATAAAAGTACTTAGTAATAGGGTAGTTGACACCTTAGTCAAATTAGTTACTTTTTATCATCTGTCAAAATTAAATAGCAACTTATGACGTCACTATCTTAGACTACTCAATTGAAGAATATATTTCAATGTTTTTTTATTTAAATTTGTATTTTACAAAAAGCTAAAATAATTATATTTTCCGAGATGTTTTGTTATATTTGTTTAAATGAAACAGACGTTCTCATTAAGTTATGATACAGTCAACTTCTCTATTGACACCATAGACAACGATATCTGTTTTTTCAGCATCGTTTATGTAACAAGAATAAAATTATCACTATTTTCAGCCTTAAAGGAGTTTTAAGATAAATCTTTAAAAGATATGAGATTAACATCGCTTGGAAGCTCGTCAGCATCTATCTGCCTTTTGTTATTCATTTTGTTATCGGTCGGCAAACATTGCCACGGGTTTGAGCTGTTTTTATTTTAAAGTTAATCCTCTTTCTAAATGTTTAATTTTAGATAAGAGATTTTAGGGAAGGGGTAGTTCAAGTCTCGGACAGGATACGGGACTAGGACTATAATCCGTTCTGTGATTTAAGAGGCCACTAGGATAGTAACATAATATGTACAATGACATCAACTTGTGGAAGCAACATTTGTACCTAAAAAACTTAAAACTACAAAACAATTCCATTTCCACGATACTACAAACGCGGGTGACTGGTTAGACCAGTTACCTAGTTACATGCACACACACACACACACACACACACATATGCATCTAATTATAGAATAATACACTTAAATAAAAATAATAAAAAATAATAAAGTGTTTATGTCTCCCTTATTACAAAATAAACACCTGTACAATGTAGCCATAACACAATAGTGGGAGACTGGTTTCCAAACCAAGTAAAAGCCTTGTCCTATAGATAGCCAGGCTTCCATCCCGCGAAAATAATAAATAGTGTGAACAAGCAGTAGCAGAACTCTTACTCCTCAGTCACAGATGAAAAAAGAAAATACATAATGGTATTAAGTTTATATTGTCTATAAACCAGCACGTCAGTTGTCACTAAAATAAATTCTCACAATAAAAAATCATTTGCATAACAATTGCCTGTCACTTGTTGGCCGCCATTATACACACTCCTTAAGGCAGCCAAGCCTTAGCCAAGACAAAGCGCCTGCTTTCTCTGCAACCTTCATACATACTCGTATTACGTAACAAATTGCATAATCACCATCCACATTATTTCACAAATTATACCCACGAGGCGCCATTTTTTTAGTTCCAATTGTACATTTAACTATTTATTATTCGTGATTATCTTTTGATAACAAACTTTTGTTACTTTTTTACAGTACATGTGTTTGTCTCTAACTTTCCATGTCATTAGAATTTAGAAGTCGATTTTATTGTTTGTTTTTATTATCATTTTATTAGACCATGCCCCAGTGATATTACAAGTTTAAAAGTTTAAAAAAGGAATAAATAAAGTGTGAAACTGTCAGACTAAATCTTATATGTAATTGTATGCACAGTTGAGACTATCGACTACCAAGAGGTTCGCGCGTCTTCTAAGTGTGAGCAATGCTAAAGATAAATAATATATTAATTTTATTTAAAAAAAAGCCGTCGTGGGACACCCGATAGGAACGAAGTTGTGACGATCGAGTAAAACTGATTTGACACGATTTTAATTACAACGCCATCTATGAAAGCGGCTATTACCTACATATTAAAAACAATTAAAACAATTTATACATTGGTAAAATCTCCTTGCGAAATGATTTCCTATCTATTCGATAGATGGTGCTGAATGTCTGACAAGATGACACGAAAATAAAGAGCAAAAAGCCAACATCACGTGGTATTCCCAGGCGGTCACCCATCCAAGTACTAACCACGCCCGATGTTGCTTAACTTCGGTGATCGGACGAGAACCGGTGTATTCAACATGGTATTGACGTTGGCGAACATTAAAGCAAATTTAATGTATGGTATCCACAGTTAGACGTCAATTCATATTAAAAGTGTCGTGACAAATTTTCGTACGAATTTTTTCCGTCTAGCACCCTTTCACAGCGCGCGATAAGGAACTTCGTTCCAATAATATAATAAATAATAGAGTAATTAAAGGATCGATTTGGACATCTTGTAAGGATACCCGAAGAACGTATGATTTGAAGAGTTTATAAGACTCGTGTGAGTGGGCGAACCAGTGCGGGTATCCTCCAAAAGATGTAAGTTTACTGACCACTTCGGCAGTAGTGTGTATAAATCGCAGTGAAAGGCCTGAAGTGTCTGACAAATGTGGTAGAGGTACGACCTGTATGTCAGAATCGTGACATCGAGTTCTATCGTCCCTGGCAGGAATGAAGCGTGAGTATTAGCTGTACTCTTTGTTAAGGCCTTTTTAGGGCGGTTTTAATCCACAAATTCCGATCCGAGCCCTTGAAAATACGGTCCTAAGTAGTTTCAAAACTATTTCTATGGAAGTTTACGCACTAGATCCGACTACCGTCATCCCATTTCTTTCTGTTAAGATTATTGACGGACCAAAGTTATAGCTATACTATTTTTTAGATGAACGCACCCAGAAATATTTACTTCTTCTGTGCCGTTTGTAATAGCTCTGCCAGAAGAATCTAAAATACGGCCACAGTTTTCTGTTACATCCTAAATATCGACTGGCAAATATCGACGGTCGACTGGCAGAGAATGCCTTAGAATTAAGTCCGCCGATGTATATATTTGTGGCGGGAAAGATGTACTGTCAAAAAGATGTAATAAATAAACATGTACATATATCTACCCTCCTTTGTGGTAAGAGGTTACCTGCACATGTAAACAATTGTAGGTATAACTAGGTATAACTACATAACAGGATATTTCTTGATGTATATTTTTATATTTTTTCATTGATATTTAACTTTATTTTATATTGATATTAACCATAGACGACAAGGGTAAACAGTACTACTTTATCTTTTTACACTGTATTCGTTACAAATTGACCTCCTGATCCTAATTGGTTGGCAAAGGTAACCTAGTATACATTCTCGTTTGACAGCTACATGGGTGCTAAATATAAAAATCAAAAAGTAAAACTAGTTGCTACTTTCAACCAACTCTCACAGCTCTCTCGGATGCTGTACTCAACATTTTATTTGTTTCCAAATGAATGTATTTGTAACAAATTAACACGCGTTTGTTTTTATTTTATAATTTTTTCTTAAGTTTTATAATAATATGTTAAACACCAAGAAACTCTATATCTTATGTTTTTTTTTATTAAATAATTGCCACGTAGTTGAAGTCATTTATAATATATGTAGGTGCTTAATCTATTAGTTATTATTAAAAAGCCATTATAAAGCAGCCGTTTTCTTTCTTATAGAAGATAAGAAAGAAAACGGCTGGTTTATAATGTTTCTGCTAAAGCGGTTTTAAAGCATTATTCTAAAAATAATATTTCGAGAAAACAATATGTCGAACTTTAAACACTAAGCTGATAGAAATAATACCTAATATTAAATAGACATTATTAATTTACCTTAGCGCAATAACATTACTTGTTAATCAACACAAAATAATACGAGATTATACAACCAAGTCTAATAGAGCAATAAACATGTCATTAGCCTATAAATGAACGCCGAGAAAAAAAAAAACATTACTTTTGCATACATACTCATATAAGAAAGTAGAAGAAGGTTTAATACCCCACACTGGTTTGTTGATGCGACGACTTGTCGTGAGATCCAACAGTGTCGCGGAGTTGCTAAAAACTATAGCACGTGTTAATAACTAACTTTTATTTGCATAAAATCAAACATAAAATAACCAAACCAAAATATTTTAAACCAAAATGTCAACTATAAAAAGGAAAAAGGTTTTAAACGAATGACATTGCATTCGAAATTCAAAATAACAGTTTTATTTAAATAGGTTAGTTCTTTAATACGGTTTATTTTTTCGGTAAGTAAAGTTTGTGTTATTTGTACTGATGTGCGTGATTATATTTTCAATTAGGTATATTATTTTACATTTAATTAATATTATATAAAAGTAGGTAATAGAATACAGTATAGTAACAGTTGTTCAGTTAATATTTAAATATTTTTTATTTAGTCTGCATGCGAATAATTTCTTTTCGGTTTTTTCTTATTTATTTTCTTGTAATCATTGTTTTGACCTTGCGATGTCTGTCTAAAATATTTTAAATTCTATTTTAATTATTTCTATACAGTGTTATCAATAACTGCAGTTATATGTATAATATATATAATAGCATTCCAGTTATTAAAAAAAACTTTTCTCAGTTTCACACCTGTTATGGGTTTACTGCTCCGCTGCTTTTGGTCGAGGCGTGATGAAATAAAAGGAAAAGCGATTTAAAGGACATGGAGTATTTTTGTTACTCTTAGAAAACTTGTTTTAATCTAATAAAAAGGTCGTTCTGTAAGATGGTTCAGTCATTTGGTGTTTGGTACAACTACGCATTTTTTATGTAAATTCATTGATTTTCGGTGCCATTCTTACTTTATGTTGAACATTAACTTAGTTTTATTACAAACTAGCTGACCGGCGCAACTTCGTCTGCGTCTCTCAATAGTAATAAATTTTCTCCGTTTTTGAAACATTCTTTATTGGTGCTCCGCTCCTATTGGTCTTAGCGTGATGATATATAGCCTATAGCCTTCCTCGATAAATGGGCTATCTAACACTGAAAGAATTTTTCAAATCGGACCAGTAGTTCCTGAGATTATCGCGTTCAAACAAACAAACAAACAAACAAACAAACAAACTCTTCAGCTTTATAATATTAGTATAGATTTGAAAATGCAAATCTTTAATAACGTATCCAACTGTTAACGAAATGCTAAACTAAGTAAGTACAAACAGATGGCCTAAATCCGTCAAGACAAGCCATTAATTATAAAAAAAATTAGACATAAAAAAGAAAGTTAAGTTTTAGACCTATTGAACTCATTACAAAAAAAACACACAATCTCTGCATATAGTGAGGAAAGTTTTCAGATTCAATGCTACATAGTTATTTAATTGAAAAAAAAGCAGCCTTTGATAGTCCACTCCTGGACATAGGCCTCACCTTAGAAAGGAGGTTTAAGCGCAAACTTTTAGAATATTGCAAGCGATTTTTACAATTGATTAAAATACCTAATAGAAACTGAAACTGTTAGAAATGTTACTTAAGATACTCCGCTTCCAAGCCAGGAAGTGTAAGTACGGCTATAATTACGGAATTCTGCCTATCTGTCAACATCTTAAATGACATTTTCAGAGTTCTAATATTTCACATCACATTAACAGCCTTTAATAGTTCACTACTGCTGTCTCTTTGCAGTGTAGTTAGCTCCCTCAGTCGGCTCTTACGACACCCACGGGATGAATATAGGGGTGGTGACACTCCGTATTCTTAATCCGTCACTACACGGATATATATATATATCTCGAGTATATCTGTTATTTTATGATATGCTGTACTACTAAGTTTTACTTAGATTTTGAGGCTGCATTTCCACATTAGTGACTTCTTTCTTTATTCATATTTTGTGAAGCTCCTAATTCGGTATTTGTGTCAATTTTCTAACGAAAACCAAGGACTCTTAATGACTCGAATAACCAAAAATGTTTCCTATTTTTGATACCCTAAACTATATTTTTCTTTGTACATATTTAGAGGTATATTGTATCTCTCTCCAATGAAAAAGAATCAAGGTAAGTATTATTAGAACTCTTCCTTTTGCTATCTAAACAGCTGTTATTTGTTATTCATTTTTTTCAGATTCGTCTTTCTAGAAAGGGTCATCACACAGTGTTTCATTTCTAGCGTTCATTAGATCATGGTGCAGCGATGTTTTGCCTTGCAGTCGGCACTGAGGTATAACTGAGGATAATGGTCAATATTTTGATGTCTAAATCTTATCCGTCTCTATCGGCATCTGTCCATCGCATTTTTGATGATGTTCTGTATCTTGACGGCAGACGAGTCCTTTATTTGATCTGTTTATCGAGTTGGTACTCGGTCTTTTGAACGTTAGCTTTAGTATTACCAGCCACGATAAGTTTTGTTAGATTCCTCTAATTTTTTCATGATTTTTTTTTTTCAATTTGTCGATTTCAATTCGACATTTGTCGCTCAAATTTCAAAATTGTCATTGAATGTGGGTGTGGCTTAGATGGCCAGATAAGCCAGCTCTAGTTATGAGTACGAATCTAGCGCACCTTAGTTCTTCCAAATATTTACAAATCATCATCACATCAATAGCCTTTAATAGTCCACTGCTGGACATAGGCCTCTCCTTAGAAAGGAGGTTTTGGCCTACTATACCAAGCTGGCCAGACGGGTTGGTAAAGCGTTTTTGTCAAGTTTTCCTTCTCTTTGCAGTGCTTTTGTCCTGCAGAGTTTGCTCCTTTAGTCGGCTCTTACTACGTTATGTTTATGGCCAGTGCTTCACTCCTAAAGATAGTAGCATAATGTTGAATAATATATATGTACCCTTTCTTAACAATTGTTCCATCAAATCCTAATACATTTTTCGATTAACGCGTTAAATTAAAAAAAGAAAA